TACTATCTTGATTCGTTGGCTCTATGCACCTTTACTATAGTTCAAAAGGCATGTGTCTGGTACCATTTTCGGTCGCTGCTGCCTCCATATACCCAGTTAATCCCAATCAGATCCTGAATATGTAAAATGCAATCACTTTAAAGTTGTTTGATCTGGGATCCCATTGAACAGAATTTCGATTTAGGAATGATGTTGTTTCGAAATTTGGACTGGACATCCTTTTGCGTCAATAGAATTGGAAAAGGGTTTGAAAGAACATGGTTCCCAATTAGCGGCTAAAGGGCTAAAGGGTCCCAATTGGTTAAAATAAGAATTGCGGGCCAATGATCTCATTGGTCGAAGGAATCTTAGTTGTCGGCATGGTCATATCTTAGCAATCTTAGCAGGCTACCTGTATTAGCATCAAAACCTTTCAAAGGAAGGGTTGATTTAGGTTGATTTATGTAAAGAAAAAGGTCCATGAAACCACATGTGGAAGACCCACAATCCAGGTCCAGAGCCCCATAATCGATTGCAAAAGTTTTTGAGTGGTTTTTGCAAATTTTCATCAGTTAACATCAAGTCGCTTTCACACCTTTTTGTTACCGACCATTGTAGGGTCAGCGTAGAAGGCAAAGACCGTCTTTGTGTTCACGCAGCAATCGCATAGGCTCATGCTGCAGCAGCGTGGGTGCTGCAATGATTTTCTTTTCTCTGCTGAGGCGCTTCCATTTGAGAATGGATGCCTCGGGCATTGCTTGCAATGTGTGCACCACCACAGAAAGAGAATCTCCTTGTGCAAGGCCATGGATAATTTCAATGCTGCACGTAGCAGACATCTGCCGGATTACACTGATGCGAGGAAGCGAAATCACAACGAAACGCTCCAATGCCCGCGGACAAGGTCCCAATCATGCAATTTCATGCAAGTTCATGTCGCCGACATCCGCAGACAAACGGACTTACTACCCCATTACATTACATGGGCACTGCGGTCAACCATAGACAAACAGAGCCTCACCGGCCCTACCTTTTCCACCCGCGGTCAGCATCACGCGGACAAGTCGTCTGGGCTCTCTGAGACCGCGGTCACTCGCGCTCAGCTGCGGTCAGGTCGCGGACAAGTGCGCGCCTCCTCTAACAGCTTGCAAGCTCACCCTTCCTTTGTGCTCCTTGCGCCAGTGCCGCAACATCTTCTGCACCATTTCTGCAGACCTGCGGCTCCATTGGAACTCTCGCGCCCTGTTCCTTTTCATCGAGAAATGCCACGCCAATGTGCTTAAGAGCTTGCGGCAGGCAATGCAATCCTTGGGCAGCAGTGAAGGAGACTACCTTCTGCAAAGATCTTTGCACCCCTTGAGCCTGCTTGTCCCTGACCTCCGCGTAGGAGGCCAGGGACTGAATTCCACGTAGGAATTTCTGCGCGGCATCTATCTGTTTTTCAGCTGCCATGACTGGAACCAAAATTGCTGCGCAACATGACTTTTCCTGCGAGATTACCCAAGACAATCGACATATGTAGGTTTTGAAAGAAAAGCTAAGTGATCGCTAAGTGATCGCTAAGTAACCAACACTTAGCACACACTACACTTATAAGTAACCTAAGTCAATAGTAAGTGCCACCTAAGTTTTGATCACTTAGCCATCACTTAACTAACATAGCCATCACTTGCCCAAAGGATAGATAACTTATAACTACGTTTACTAAGTGCCTAAGTCCCCGGCGATCCCAAAGTAGAGCTCTAGTCGCTCTGGGACGCTCGTAGGGCAAGCCACTCGTGGGGAGCCGGCGGAGCCGAATTTAAGCGCTTACGCGCGACAGCCGGCCAGGGGCCCAACTATGTTGGCCCATCTTGTGGCTATATGTTGGCCTATGTTGGCGTATGTTGGCCTATCTTGCGGGCAACGTGGGCCCATCTTGTGGCTATGTTGGCCTATGTTGGCCTCATGTTGACCCATGTGGAGCCAAAAGATCCGAAAAATGAGAACAGCAAAAAAACGCTGTAAAACGCATGATATTTTGATGGTCGGCGGCCTATCTTGGGGCTATGTTGGCCCATCTTGGGGCTATGTGGGCCTATCTTGAGGGCAATGTGGGCCCATCTTGGGGCTATGTTGGCCCATCTTGGGGCTATGTTGCCCCATCTTGGGGCTATGTTGGCCCATCTTGGGGGCTATGTTGCCCCATCTTGGGGCTATGTTGGCCCATCTTGCGGCCTATGTTGGCCCATGTTGACCCATCTTAAACCACAAGATCCGAAAAATGGGAAAAAATGGGAAGAGCACAAAACACCGTAAAACGCGGGACTTTTTGGCGGGGGGGAGAGGTCGCCGGCAGGGGGCGCGGCCCCTCTCTCCTACGGAGAGGAGAGAAACGCCGTACGGCAATGCCACGGCCAGGGGGCCCCTGGCCGGATTAAAGGGCTACGCCCTCTGCCGCCGACCCCTGGACACCGGAGGGGAGTGAGATGCACCAAGAGAAGCTCCGGGCCAAGCAGCCGAAACAGGAAGGCCCTGAAGGACGGACCGGGCCTGCGGGCCACGGCCCCCACTGCCTAACGTTGTTTCTGAACCGACAAGAAAACTAGCTCTCTGAGCTGTCTTCCAGTCACCAAGGCTCACAAACGGCGCCTCTGCCACAGCCAAACAGCAGGGCCCTGAGGACCGAGCCTGCGAATTTTCTCTTTTCGCCCCTTGTTGCTAGCAAGGCGTCCTCTGACGCGCTCCCCCTGCTGGCGGCAGGGGTCGGCGGATATCTATAGATCTCTCTCTCTCTCTCTCTCTGTGTTCCCTATTTTCTAGCATTTTTGCTATCAATTAGGCCCTCCCAAAAGCAGAACACATATTCACGTCGCTTCGCGACGGCAATCGCCCGCACCGCATCGTAACTGCCAATGATGTCGGCCATTGAGACCAAAAACATCCGAAAGTATTGATTGTCGGAAAAAAAAAGCGAAGAATTTGATAGCCATGTATAGCGGACCAACGCAGTTCAAAAAATAACGAAAAACATGAAAAACGGCGAAATTGCTGTTATGGAAGTGTTCACACAAGAAGACTGAAAGCTGTTGAAAATTTTGAATTGACGGTATTCACTCCACACCTGTCATCCTGTCGATGTTTGCTTCTGCATGAATAGATTCTGAAACTTGCTGAATGGTTCTTGAGACTTCCCGCATGTGAAGTGCTTCAGAAGTGAACTTACATCGCAGTACATCGAGCGCATGGAAACCTGATCTTCTCCATTTGAAAGATCCATGCGTGTGTGGATTGCTCAAGCATGAAAGGTAGGATGTGCGCATGAAGCCTTCGGTCCTGGCAATCCTTTGGTTGGCTAGATTGGCGGAAGTGGGATACAGACATTGGCCTAAGGAATCTTCTTCAAGTGAGACTGGGTATCAACTGAACCAAACCTGCTCTTGCCAGTGTCTCTGCGTTGAATCACCGCCCGCTGTTTCAACTGTGTTCTGGATTTTGTCCTCTGGAATTCTGTTAGGAGCCTCAATCAGTGCCCTGGTGATCAAGTCAGCTAGTCCTTCTAGTCCAGCGCATGGCTCACCTACGTCCTCGAGGCGACGAGGTGGAGGCATTATCACAATGCCGGCCCGGCCAGAAGGCCATTGTGTGGTACACTGATGATGATGTGTATCACGAGCGAATTCTGGTCTGGAGAGTGGATGAAGACACCTGGTACGTCCTGACACCAGATAGAGATTTGTATCCAGAGTGTTGGTCAGGTAGGTCAGATGAAGGTCCCATTTCATTCAAGCTGAAGGATGTGGACTTTAGGTACGTTTCCCGAGTCAGCCAGCCAGTGTATCGTTTCGCCACCTATCCCACTGATGATGAGTTCAAGTCCCACATTTCAACTGCCCTCCGTGAGTTGGGGTTGGAAGGCGTTAATCCCTTGCCATGGACGCCTAGCTCAATTCTGGACATGCGAGGGCAGGAGGCGAACACCAGGACGTACTCGAGGGCATCCTGGTACGTCGGAGGATAGTTCGGCGAGACCTTGGCCGACTTGATGTCCCTGATCCAACCCAAGATCCCAATGCCTGTGGCATCTCCTCGCTGCAGGCAGCTCCTGATGGCAGTCTGTGGGTGTCAATGCATGATACGGAGGACCATGAGTTGGGATCGGAAGTTGGTGTTCCTTCAAGGCAAGCAGTGCGGCTTGATGAGGCCAATGGTGTGGTCAAGGGCCCGAAGGGGTGGACCCTGGTGAAGCTTGTGAAGATAGGTGACTTGCCCGATATGGTAGGGTCAATGGATGCCATGGTCAGGAGCCGACAGGTGAAGCGCGATGGCACTTCAGAGTCTGCAGCTAAGGCGCCCGATGGCGAGGTTGTGGAGGTGGAGGCCGACGGCGCCGAAGATGCTCGCACTTTGGCCGTAGAGTACGATGATCAGGGCGAGCGCTTTCGATCATGGCGCGATGCCACCCGCGAATGCCGGGAATACAGCTACCCGGACTGGCCTCATGATGGGCCACAGACGGCGCTCCATCTTATGAAGTACATGCTCAAGAATGGTGGAACGCCCAAGCAATGGCTGCTTGTTTGGTCCCGCCACAAAGGCATACATGACAACGATAGAGTTATGCATGAAATGCGAGCTCTCCTGGAAGCCTTTGAGTACGCTGGAACCTACGATCAGCTCAATCTGGGTTCCCTGGCATGTATGGAGACCTTGGGCCGGCGTATGCAATCCATTGTAGATGCTTACAACAGTGGAAGCGCCGCGTCCCCAGACTGGGGCGCAGCACGCATTATGTCGGGCTACCAAGGCCCTGAAGACCTGGTCAGCCCAACCTTGCGCAGCTGGGCAGCCAAGAAGGGCAAAGAAGAGGTCGAGCTGGCTGCCGCCCGCGCCAAGATCCGGGACTACAAGAAGATCAGCACACCTACAGATGAAGCAGCAGCCGCAGTCTCAGATGGCAATCTCCCAGCGGGTGGTGTTCCAGCCAAGCCAAAGCGGAAGGCGAAGGCCAGGCTGGCGCCACCTGCGGCAACATGAATGACATGGGACGCAGTCCCCGGTATGCCTCCACCGGGGACTGTGGCTTGCCGCTGCTTGGAGGCGCCAGGCCAGATTTTTCAGTTCGGTCTCGTGATTTGTTTCCTCTTCCAGTGCCCCCAAGACTTGAAAGCACCTCTGGGCTCAGCAGACGATCATCTCAGAGGCTCTGCCGCAAAGTCAGGAAGATGGACACTGTGAGGGAAGCGGTTCATGGATTGAATTGGCTGGCAGGGCATGGTTTTTTGCATGATAGTGAGACGCCTCCCGATGATCTTCAAGCGGAGGTTCTACAGCGAATTCATTTACTGGCCCAAGATTCCGGCAACCTGGGAAGCTTGGAGCGAGTTCCATCTTCTGAGGCAGCCCTGCAGGCGCTGCTCAAGGGGAAGAGCGAGTATCACCAGCCCTCGACCCCAGTGGCTTTGGCCCCCTACAAACTCGAGCGCGTATCCTTACCTGAGGATCTTCATGGTTTGCCTCAGGCGGTAGATCTGTTGCCTCAGGACGCCCGTCGATATCTGCAGGGTAAAGAGCTCATGGTGAAGGAGGGCGAGCCCTTAGAGGCTCCTCCGCCTTACTGGGATCCGGCACTAGCCAAGAGCAAGAAGCAATACCGCCAGTTCATTCAGCACCTCGACAGCATAGGACTTTTGCAGTATACTCAAACTCCCAAGAATGAAGTTGGTGTGTTTTTGGTATTCAAAAGTGATGGTGAGCGTATCAGGTTGATTGTTGATGCTCGTTCAACCAATGCCCTCTTCCAAGATCCTCCTGGGGTTGAGCTTTGTTCAAGTGAGGGGTTCAGTCGTATAGAATGCGAAGTAAGTCCCGGCCTGCGTCCCGGCAGTCCAGAATTTTTGGCAGAGTTGCAGACTATGAATATCCATATTGGTCTTAGCGATGTCAAAGACTGTTTCCATCGACTTCGCCAGCCTCGGTGGTTGGCGGAATATTTCTGTTTCAAGCCCATCCGCGCCCACTGGGTCGGGCTCACTGGTACCATGCTGGATGGCCATCGGCTAGGTCCCAACGATGTGATATATCCCATGCCAGGAAGTTTATGCATGGGATTTAGCTGGTCTTTGTATTTTTGCCAACGGATAAATGAATACCAGTGCAGCCTGACTCGATCTCTCAAGGATTCAACTTTGGTCCGAGACAAGGGTGAGCCGGTGGTTTTCCGGAGCGAGCAAGTCAGGAGACATGGTGAGCCGGGGTCACGTCATTATGTTTATGTAGACAACCTCGGAGTGTTATCTTCCCACGCTGCCTATGTCAAGACTGCACTCCAGGAGCTGGACGACCACTTTGGTTCCTGTGGGCTGTTGTTGCACCCAGGCGAGGTCAGCGTGGGGGAAACCAGAGCGTTGGGGACAGTCTTGGACGGTCAAGCTTTGTGTTCAAAGATCACGCCTGAACGCTTTCATAAAGTTAGGCAAGCTATCAGAGGGATTGTTCAACGTAGGAGGGTTACAGGTCAGATGCTTGAAGTTGTGGTTGGGCATGCCACTTTTTGTGGCCTCAACAATCGCATGACGCTTGCTGTTTTCCACACTTGCTATAAGTTCATTCGCACACACTATTTTGAGCCGACTGAGTTGTGGAGCAGTGTGAAAGATGAGTTGCGGGCTTTTGCAGGCCTGATGATTTTTCTCCGCTCGGATTGGTGGAGACCCTGGAATGATTTGGTTTGCTGCAGTGATGCTAGCACTACTGGTTATGGGGTTTGCACTTCTCATTGGAAACTTTCGGATGTTTCAGCAGTTGGTCGGATCAAGGAACGTGCTAGATTTAAGCGGAGTGGTGGACATTCAGCCAGAGAATCATCATTGACCTCAGCAGGGTTTATCAAGGATGAGGTCACAGGTTCTTGGAAAGCAGGTGAGATTGAAGCAGAAGATTACCTGAAACTCAGTGGGTGGACACTTGACCCGCATTTTCCCGAAGTGCCTGCCCGTTTGCTCAGGAAAGAATGCTGGGCGCCGAAGCTCTGGGGCAAATGGCAATTCCCGGAAGGGATCATCACCTTGGAGGCGCGGGCAGCAGTGAAATCTTTGCGGCGGGTGGCCATGAGTGTTTTTGGTTCTCAGATTCGCCAGCTTTTCCTTCTGGACAACATGTCCTTGGTTTTGGCTCTGGAGCGAAGCCGGAGCAGGCAGTTTAGTCTCCTCAAACAGATTCGTGTTTTCAACTCGTATTGCATTGCTAGGGGAATCCAGCCTTATTTTCGATGGGTGCCAAGTGAACTCAACAGTGCAGACGAGCCTTCAAGATACAATAGTGATGAGCCTTCAAAACTGCTTACGGCTTTGATACCCCATGGCCCCGAAGAGAGTTCGGACGTCGGCCGTCCCATCGTCAAGCAAGACCACGGTCAAGAAGAAGACCGAGCGCTGTTTGAAACCAGGGGTGCCAACCACCAAGACCTGGAAGGGCAAGGCCCCTGTCCAGAGAAAAGGGGCACACAACCTGGCAGCTTGCACAGTGGCCAATCGACTGCTCAAAGCCAGCCCAGGGGTGACTGGGCCCACTCTGGACAGCCAGAGCCTGGGCAGCCTAGCTCTAGTCGAGCAGGATGCCAAGTTCAGCAGCTCAGACAGCAGCAGCGAGGTAATGCTCACCAAGAAGAGGGTGCGAAAACTCCACTCCCGAGGGCGGCAGCGCAGGCGAAAGTACGTCGATCTGCTGATGGAGGGCAAGGACCCACAAAGTTTGAGTGTTCTGGAGAGGCGGGCAGTGGGGCTAACCACAGAGAAAATGTACGAGAAGGAGCACACCACTTTTATGACATTTGCCAAGAAGAGCGGCCACCTAGACATCACAAACTCCAGCCAAGTAGATCAGCTTTTGGTGGACTATATGAACCGATGTTTCTTCGAGGGCCATCAAGCCTTTGTTGGAGACAGGCTGATCGCCAGCTGGCTTCATCATCATCCCGAGTACAGCCGTACTGGTGTGAAGAGGATCCCCAGAGCACTCCGAGCGCTGAGGGGTTGGAGGCGTTTGTGCCCCGGAAGGTCACGTACCCCTTATCCTCTAGCAGTATGGTGCGGCCTCAGCGTTTTGATGCTGGAGCGTGGATTTCCCAAGATGGCAATTTTTCTCATGATGTCCCTGTCCACCTATGCGCGGCCAGCAGAACTCCTACGGCTGCGGGTGATGAGTTTGATTCACCCAGCCACAGGGGTGACCAGCTCCTGGTCCATCCTGATGAGTCCCGAGGAGCTAGGCCAGCCTTCGAAAACGGGCGAGTACGACATCAGTCTGCTGTTAGACTCTCCTTATCTCAGCTTTTGGGGTGCGAAGGTGTTCAACAAGCTGAAGACAGAGAATCAGAACAATTGCCTGTGGGACTTCAACTACAGTCAGTATTTGGCCGTGTTCAAGAAATGCGCCAAACAGATGGGCATAGAGCTGTCACCATATCACACCCGTCACAGTGGAGCCTCGATAGATCGCTCCAGGAACTACAGGAGCCAGCTAGATGTGCAGAAGCGTGGACAATGGAAAAGCACCAAGTCCATTGCCCGCTACGAAAAAGCGGCACGCTTGGCCAAGAGTTGGGAGCAAGTTCCGAACAAGGCCAAGGAATATTGCCTGGCATGCGAAGAGGCATTCGACGGCATCATGGCCAGCCGAAAGAAGCTCCCTACATCGACTATCCTCGTCGGAGTAGGAAAGGGCAGTACGTAGCAGACTTGTTTTCAGGTCAGGGAGGTGTGGCCAGGGCATGTGAAGCTTTAGGTTTCCAAAGCCGGGAGTGGGACATCCGCTACGGCCAGCACTGTGATTTGACCAGCGCAAGAGTTTTGTCACGGTTGAAGCAAGATATCAAATGGGGCAGGGTGCTCGCAGTGATGCTGGCTCCGCCTGGTGATTCCTTTTCTGCCGCCAGGGATCGAGCAAGTGTTGTTCGAACCCGTGACTGGCCCTGGGGACTTCCTCCAGAGTTTTTGTCTATAGCCGAGCAGAAAAAGATCCAGTTGGGAAACGCTTGTTTTCGGTCGTGCATCTCTTTGATTCGATTGCTGGACAGACATCGCATCCCATGGATTTTGGAAAACTCTGCTAGCTCTAAATGTTGGTATCTACCTTATTTCCATCGGCTTTGCTCACAACCACATGTTCAGAGTCATTTCCGATTTTTGTCAGTTTGGCACGCGTTGGCGTAAGCGCACAAGATTTTGCTGTGGCAATATTGAGCTTGATGATTTGCATCGGTTGCAGCACAAGTGCAGCGGACATGGTATGTGCAGTCGCACTGGCAGACCCCATTTCCAATTAACTGGCACAGGCCCTGGTAATCGTAACTGGACTGCTATTGCACAATCATATCCAGTCAAGCTCAGTGAGGCATTGGCTTACTCTTTGACTGCCCGGTGGCACTATAATTCCTTCTCTTATTAATCCCATGTCTGGACAACATTCTTGATTTTGGAAATGATTTGGAGGATTTGAGTGGGCTCTGCTTTCACATTGCTCATTTGGCTGGTGCAGGTCGCAGAGCCAAGACGTGGCCATTTGCACACGAGACACCTGACCGCTGAAGAAATTGCGCTGCAGCCGAGAAGTCTGGAAGTGTTCACACAAGAAGACTGAAAGCTGTTGAAAATTTTGAATTGACGGTATTCACTCCACACCTGTCATCCTGTCGATGTTTGCTTCTGCATGAATAGATGCTGAAACTTGCTGAATGGTTCTTGAGACTTCCCGCATGTGAAGTGCTTCAGAAGTGAACTTACATCGCAGTACATCGAGCGCATGGAAACCTGATCTTCTCCATTTGAAAGATCCATGCGTGTGTGGATTGCTCAAGCATCCCACCCTGGCATCTTGCTGGGCAATCTGCCCCACCCTTCTTTTGCCAAGCAATTGGAGGATTTGAGTGGGCTCTGCTTTCACATTGCTCATTTGGCTGGTGCAGGTCGCAGAGCCAAGACGTGGCCATTTGCACACGAGACACCTGACCGCTGAAGAAATTGCGCTGCAGCCGAGAAGTCTTTACAGTGTTTTTGCGCGGTGAGAAGCACAAACCACTGCAAATACCATGGTTTTTGAGGGTCAGGTGGCCAAAAACACTGTAATTCACAGTGTTTTTTAACCAACGTCAAAAAACACTGGTATTTACGATGTTTTCATTCACACCGTAACATAAAACAGCGTAATTTACGAGTTTTTTGGAAGTTTTGAAGCTAGCCGTCAAGCATGCAGAAAACAGGAAAACACTGTAAAAACCAGTGTTTCTGCTATCACAAAACGACGAAAATCAGTCCGAAAACGGGTCCAAAAATTCAAAAATCCGCCTCCGCGCCAGGCCACCTGCGGAACCGCAAAAAAAGATGTTGCAAACCAAAAAATTGAGGTCAAAAAGTTGAAAAACACGAGGTTTTTTCACTTTTCGCTTGCCGATTTTGGACGGGCGCGTTCACGAACAGGTGTCTTCCGTACTGTTTTTTACAGTGTTTTTTGAAGGCGAGCGTCACGACCTATCAAAAACAGGAGGTTTTGGCCGAAAAATGCCACCCCCCCCCAGGTAAACCTGTAACCTTTTACGAGTGCCATCCGGACGATCATGCCCCAGCACCTTCGGTGCGGGCGGATTTCTATATCTTGGGTGTCTGTCTCTATACACCGAACCTGGCCTCGAAGTCAGCATAGCAGGGCAAGTCGATCACCGCCGCGGTGATGGCTGCGGAAAAAAAAATCGCGTTGCTAATGGCCTGGTTGCAGGCCGCGCATATTCGCACACATGTCCAACATGCGGCACGGTGGTGCACTCAACACAGGCTTCCGGCCGAATTCAAGTAACCCATCGTCATCCCAACGGAAAGCTATGTCACACCGACCGCTGGTGCGTGCAGTGCATAACTGATGGAAGTTTCCAGCTTAAGGTTTACCTTTGCCCGGTCTTCTGCTGCTTGCATTCTTGAACGGCTTAAGTGCCATATTTATTCAGCACCAATGGAACGCACGCTTACTGAACCCACCTACAAGAAAACTAGCTGTCTTCCAGCCGCCAACAAGGCTCACAAACGGCGCCCTCGCCACAGCGAAACAGCAGGGCCCAGAAGGACGGACCGGGCCTGCGGGCCACGGCCCCCAGTGCCTAACGTTGCTTTCTGAACCTACAAGAAAACTAGCTGTCTTCCAGCCGCCAAGGCTCACAAACGGCGCCCTCGCCACATCGAAACAGCTGGGCCCAGAAGGACGGACCCGGCCTGCAGGCCACGGCCTCCACTGCCTAACGTTACTTTCTGAACCTACACGAAAACTAGCTGTCTGACCTCAAACTGCGCCTCCGCCACAGCCAAACAGCAGGGCCCTGAGGACCGGGCGCGCGAAGTTTCTCTTTTCGCCCCTTGTTGCTAGTAAGGCCTCCTCTAACGCGCTCCCCCTGCTGGCGGCAGGGGTCGGCGGATACCCCAAGACATCACCGGCAGCCGAGGAGCGGAACCAGCATGGTGCCGGGGAAGCTGCAGCGCAGCAGGTGGGGAGACGCTGGCGGCGGCCACTTTCACACCTTGGATGAGGGGTTGCAGCATGTTTCACTCGCAGAAAAGATAAATCATTTGGGGAATCGAGTCGGAATCGAGGATTCTTTGTTTAGCGTGTCAGTAAAAGTTAGTACTTTAACATGATTTTAAATGTTGGTTCATTAAAGAAAGAGCATGGGGAATGTGTTGAAGGGATCGAACTATTATGTTCCGGGCAATGGATCAGTGGCTGGACGACAAACTTCCTCTTGTACTTTCACATCCCTGCAGCATAAACAGAAACTATAGGTGTGATAATGGGAAATTGCCCATTGTCAGAAATAAGTGAGGGTTCACTTAGAACGGGCTGACTGGAGAAGGGAATTGCTAGAGGCTGTAGGGTACAAACTTTCCTAAGCAGCTTCCAATCTGACGCCCTTCAGGCTCGGCCGGATGCACAGGGTGAGCCACGTGGGAACCCACTGGGCTTCCCCACTTCCAGGCGGCGCAGCCATCCTTTGTTCGATGCAGTCTTTACATCGCGTGTGATGTCTTGGGAGTTTTCTGGTGTGAAATGGATTGAAATGGTCCACAATTGAATTTATTCACCATATTTTAAGGCGGGCAATTGGCGGTTTGTTTGTGATTTGGTCATATTTGGTCGGGGGTGTTTGGGCAAACCAGTCTTTCACAACACCTGGATTCTTCTATATTCTTCTTGTGCGCGTAGTCTGAAAGATCTGAAAGCCTGAAAGCCTTGCATTCTTTTATAGCATTTTAGATATTAAAACGGATCAACTATACCACACCATACCCAGTCTCCTGTTGAAAATCGCGCAGTAGCGGAGAGGTCCAGAGAAGAAGAGGACCTTCAGCTGGCGATCGCCCTCTCTGAGTCCGAAGATCGTGGATTTCCAGCACCTCAAGCTGCCCCACCCGCTGCACCTGGCCCGCAACCGTCTCATCCCCAAGCAGCAGCGAAAGCAGCTGCCAAGGCGGCAGCGAAGGCAGCACCAGCCCCACCAGCCCCACCAGCTCAACCGCCAGCGCCAGCTCCGAACTTCTCGGACTACAGCTATATCGCCAGATGCACCCAGCACTTCGCAGCAGCCAGGGTCCTTGGTGCAGGTGCATACGGCACAGTTTACCGTGGAGTAGACCCTGACAACGCCGTAGAGTTCGCAGCAAAGCGTTTGGAATGCCAAGATGCACAGCAGCGAGAATACCTGGAAAGGATGACGACGGCTGAAATACGAGTCTTTCACTTAGCTGACTCAGCGATTCTTCAAAGATGCCGTCTTTAGGAAGATGTTTTTTGAACTTGTTGTAACCAGGAGCTAAATCGCAAGTGGTTAGTGCTTACGGGTTTGAGGTTTCCTATGCTTGCAGCTTTGCTGCGTCTTTTTCACTCAGGCATACAAAAGCATTCAGAATCAGTTTCTTTTTCCAACCGAAGACACGGCCAAGCCAACTTACCATGCGGGGGCTTAGGTCCTAACCAACTTCATCCATCCCAACATCATACCCCTGCTGGGACATTGTCTTCACAGAGATGGTGCCGTCTTGGTCTATGAGTTTCAGCCGCAAGGCAGCTTGGACGCACATTTGATGAACGACCAGAAAGCTCAGCAGCTCAGCTGGGGACGCCGAAGTAGCATCGTGGCCGGTTTGCTGGTGGCGGTGAGCTTCTTACATCACCACAATCCCCAGGGGCCCTGCTATCACCGGGACATCAAGCCGGGCAACGTCATGTTGACCGCATCGTTTGTGCCGAAACTGGGCGACTGCGGCCTGTCGCGCTTTTTGCCCCAAGACCGACCAGGGCAGAGCCGAATGACCATGCAGCTCACACAGGGCGCGGGCCCAGCAGGGACTCCTGGCTTTATGTGCAAACGATACGTGGAGGGAGGTGGCTTGGTCGATCTGGGTCCATCTGGTCCTGGAGTTGTCACACCCGGAACAATCTCCAGAGCAGTCCCAAACCTGCCTATTCTTTAGCCTCAATAATTGTCACAGTCAAAGTCAAAGGGCATTGTAGTCAGACAGATACGAATTTTGTTTTGATCTTAAGATTGTTTTTCTGCTCGTCGTTGCAGTAGACCCCCTATATGGAAAGGCAACTTCAACGAGAAGTCGGAGGTCTATTCCATCGGTGTCACGATTTTGCAGCTGATCACGGGCAAAACGGAGTTTGATGACGACTTTTCGGAGATGATTGAAGAAGCAGATGAGGAGCAGATTGCCCGGAACGGCGATCAGCGGCTACCAGCGACTGGCCCAGATGAGGAGATCATGAAGAAACTCTCGGCCATGGCAGCTGCCAGTGTGCAGCGTTTCTCCAAGAGGATTCGACTGATGCCTTTGCTGCGGCAAGCCCGTGAAGCTGCGAGCAGCGGCGCGTCCGAAGCTTCAGCTTTGAGAGCGGAAGTGGAGGAGATGGCGGCGGAACTGCGGCGTTTGCGCCTGCAGCAAGCCGCAGAAGCAGAACGCGCAGCCGCTGCCAACATGACCTGCGAGCTGTGCTTTGACGAAGCCTCCGCAGAGCAGAGCGGCAGCTTGACCTGCCCCAATCAGCACTTCGTTTGTGCCGATTGCAGCCCGCAAATGGTCACTAGCTTTCTGGAGCGTGTGAGTGCCAGCGACACCATGCTGGAAGATCATCGCACTAGGAGCGGGCTGGTTCCATGCGTGCATGCCAACCCAGCATTCCAAGACCCATGCGCGGCTCACTACACGGACCAAGCCTTGGCTAGGGCCCTGCCGAATGACGTTTTTGTGGGATACAGGGCTGCACAGGATGCTACCACCGAAAACCGTCTCTGGCAACATTTCAACCAGAGGTTTCAAGAGGAGGCAGGTTTCAAGATTTCAATGCGTTAAAATGACAAAAAAACCAAACATCTATAGGGATTGGAATCATGACCGTCTTGAAGGTCAATCAGACTGTTCTAGGATTTGTGCTCAAGCTGGCAAACTATGTTGTCATTTGAAGTAATTTGTGGTGCGCCACCTAGTGCAGGTCTTGCACGCGCAACAGCAGTTGGAACGCCAGCAAGCCGCCCATCGAGAGGAAAGAGCTTCCACGGACTTCCTGAGGCGGCAATACCCAAATGCTCGCATGTGTCCCCAATGTCGGTGTGGGCCTGTGATCAACGAAAACTGTTTCGACCTCCAAGCCCATCACAACCAAGCATCAGGCCGCAGTCGGATCAGCAATGCGTGCCGGCAGTGTGGCTTTTTCACCCGGGACTGGAATCAGTGGTTGCCTTGGGATGGTGTTATACGAGGCAATGGGTAGCTTGGTACTCCTTGCTTCCCGTGTGCACAGTTGGTGCACGGGCCTTGCACAAAGTCTCAAGTTGAGTTTTAAGTGATGGCCCACTTTCACTTTGCATCGAATATTTTCCATTTCACCCTGGTCATTTTGCCCGGTCTCATCGGATGCCATGTACAGCTCAGGTGGAGATCCAGTCACACGCAAGGGCCCTGTGACCTGGAAGTCCGCCAGGCGGAATCGACCTGAAAAATCGGCATTTCTACCTGTTGCTTGTTGGGATTGGTGATATGTTGGTGATGTGCAGAACATCTCTGTGAACCGCATGGAGCATGACATCAAGTGGCATGAATCGACAAGATCAACCTGCAGGAATCTCAAGCTTCATGACATAGATGATACATCATAAGAATTAAAGTATATTAAAGTTATTCCCATGACATGTGCGGGGATTCGTCCCCACAAAACATACTATTTTCATCTATTTTCTCCGGGGCTCAAATTTAAATATTCCGGCGACAATTGAAAATACATGAAAATACCATGGTTTATCTTCGACCTTGGGCCCCACTAAAAATAATAATTTTTAATGGGGCTCAAACTTGAATATTTTCTGACAATATTTTAAAGGAATAGATGTTACCTTCAACCTTGGGCCACACAAAAAATGTAATTGTTAGCGGAGCTCAAACTTGAATACTTTTCGACAAGATTTGAAGAGAACATGTGTTATCTTCAACTCTGGGCCACACAAAGGGAACATATTTTCTCGACTTTCACCAGGTTTGAAAAGAACAGATTTTATCTTCATGTTTGGGCCCCACTCAAAATTATAGTTTTTAATGGGGCTCAAACTTGAATACTTTGTAACAAGATTTGAAAAGAACATATTCTATCTTCAACCCCGGGCCGCAGTAAAAAAAATAATTGTTCAGGGGGCTCAACCTTGACTATTTTTTGACAAGATTTGAAAAGAACATATCTTATCTTCTATTCCGACACAATTTGAAAATAACACATTTTAGCTACATTTTTGGGCTCCGCTCTTTTAAAAAACTTGTAGGGCGGAGGGCTATTTATTTTTGTTTTTTTTTTCGCGGCAGGTCTTGTTTTTTTTTGGGGGGTTCCTGGTTCTATGCTTTCCCGTTTCTCTGATTTTCTGCTTTTCTGCTTCTCTGCTTTTCCGCTTCTCTGCTTTTCTGCTTCTCTGCTTTTCTGCTTCTCTGCTTTTCCTGCTTCTCTGCTTTTCTGCTTCTCTGCTTTTCTGCTTCTCTGCTTTTCTGCTTCTCTGCTTTTCCTGCTTCTTTGCTTTTCTGCTTCTCTGTTTTCCTGCTTCTCTGCTTTTGTACTTCTGTGCCTTTCTACTTCTACTACTTTTGCTTTTCTTCAGTCATGTGTTTTTGCTGCTCCACTTCCTGCTCCTTTGCTTCTTTGCTTCCTGTCTTTACTGTCTCTTTGTTTTTCATTTTCTTTTGCTTTATTCTGTCCTGTTTGTATCCTAAATGAAACCATAGAGAGACCCTAGGTGAAACCCAAAGAAACCCTAAAGAAATCCTGATAAGAAACCCTACATGAAGCCCTAAATGAACCCTAAAGAAACCCTAAAGGACACCCTAAATGAAACCCTAAAGGAACCCTAAAGGAACCCACTTGAACGTTTAGACATCGTGAAAAGAAATCCTGATAAGAAACCCTGGAATGAAGCCCTAAAGAAAGCTTAAATGAACTCCTGAATGAAACCCTAAAGAAACCCGAAATGAAATCCTAAAGAAACCTGAAATGAAACCCTAAATGAAACCTCAAATGAAGCTCTTTGAAACCCTAAATGAAACCCTATATAAATGAAACCTTAAATGAAACCCTACTGGTAAATGAAAGCCTAAAGAACCCTCAAGAGAGAAGCAGCAAAATGTAGCAAATACCATGCAAATGAGAGGTTGAAATGCCAAAATATGACAAATACCATGCAAAATGGAAGGCAAACATGGCCAAGTGTAGCAAATACCATGCAAAATGCAAAGTGACCATGCCAAAATGTAGCAAATGCCATGCAAACTGACAGGTTCTACTATCAAACTGTTGCAAATACAAGGCAAATGGTATCGGGAAAGAAAGCCAAAAAAAAAATCCAAAACCTGAGGCAAAAAAAACATTCTACACCCCTCAAATTTCAATACTTGGACAAGATAATTGCATTTTTTGTATTTTTTCAACAGCACTCAGAGAAGTATTATAAAATATGTGTTTTTTTTCCAATGGTTTGGTTTCAATTGAACAAACCTTGCCAGCATCCTGGGGTGCCAGCATCCTGGGGTCATCAATCAATTTGTGAGGATCCCACCCAAAAGTGCACTGAAAAAATGGGGTTGCTGGGATTTTGTGAATGCAGGGTCTGATTTGACCCATGTGATTTTGTAGAGCCCCTCACTCACTTTTTCACTTTGTATCTACAAAATCCCAGCCGCCAACCCCACCACCCTAATTGGAGAGAGGATAATAAAATGATTCAATTTCCATGAAGGCGAGCAGCCAAAAGATTCGAACAAACTTAATCATAGCAGTTTGGGCCGCAGATTACGCAATGACCGCATTTTGTTTGTTTCACCAGGGCAGCCTGCCTAGGAACAGTGCTTTGGACGTGTTCTTCTTCTAATCTTTTTCGCCTCAGTATTGCTGCAAACACTCATTGAAATGGCACCCCTTCGGGCTGGAACATGCTGGAGGATAGTTTCCCATAGGCAGCAAATAACTCAGTGAGTTGCAGCGAAGTATCCCGTGAGGCCCGTGATTATCAACAACAGCAACACAAACGTCATGACATGCATATGTACCTGCCATGGCAGTGGACCGACATGACACTGAGACATCATCAGGCCTGCAGAAGAACAGTTGATTGTTTTTTCATATTGATGCACGGCAGATGTAGATATCTGGATGTTTTGGTTTCTTTAAATCCCAGTTTACTGATCGTAGAATACAATTGGAGGAAAGGTTGCGTTTTACAGCCAGCATTACTAATATACCAGGAATCACCAATTTTGAAAAATGACTTGGATTTCAGAGAGCATCTCTGCCTCCTTTGGACATGTCATTTCGGGTCATTGGTTGCCAAGCGTCCGCAAGACGATTTGCCTTGCAAGGTTTGGAAAAATGGCGAAAACGCTTGGAGGCAATTTCCAGTTTGGGCATTTGAGAGATTTGGACGTCAAACAATGCCATGGGATCAATTCAGATATATTGAATATTGGTGGTTAAATCCAGTAATAATATTTCATAAATCCAGTAATAAATCCAGCAAAAAATTGAATATTGGACATTATTGGACCATAACCACCAACCAGTTCTGATCCAGTTCAATTCAAACAGGGTTCTGTTGGAAGCCCTTGCAGCCATGGATCAGGAAGCCCTTCACCGCTTCAATGCTGAGTCCACAAGGTGCGCCCGAGTCAACAAAAGGTGTTGACGATGGGCCCATCAAAACATTGGTCATTTTGAATTCTAACCATCCATGTCTACAACTTCAAGTTATGATAATTTATGGAGTTATCACCAAGCACATGTGTCTTTCTAGTATGTCATCCAGGCATTGATGTGTCCACTCTTGCAGGGGCAACGTACTGGCTTAGGAATTCCAAAGTTTCATGCAAGTACTTCTATAATCCTGTATATTTTTCCTTATTCTGATCATTTTCCATCTTCCGGGTGCAAGGCATTGGCTCGCAACTGCTATTGCTGTGAGTCTGGCCCCCCCACTCTACAGTGCCTTTATACATGGTAAAATCCCGACTCCTTCTTGGTCAAATCCCTACCGATATCCCTGATACAAAGCCAGTTTGGCTCAGTCGTTCATGGTCAATGGGCTCATTGTGGTGACATTTTGATTTAAATGTATTTGCTTCCTTCCTCAATATAAGGTAGATCTTCTAGTTATAGTTGTTCGTGCAAAATATGGGTCAATTTTTCCCGGACCTCATGATTTTAGCATGGTACACAGCAAACATCAGGACGGATGCCTCAGTTAGCCCGCCCAGTACAGCATCAACCGGGCAGGCACTGGTGATTTGGAGATCGTCCATGGTGTTCAGTATTGTTTATTAAAATGAATTCATGACATCGAAGTCTCAATTTTCATCATGTCTGATAAGTTTTCATGGCGGTTTGCTCTTGAAAGTACCACGTCCGCCAGGAAACTGAGCTTGAGCGAGCCGAGGACTGATGTTGGAATATGTTTGAAATACATGGGGGATGTGTAAATTCATGAAGATCAAAGGTTTGACATCCCATGACAATCTAGGAAAGAAAAGTTTCAACTATTCTTGAACAGTTTGACTTTGAGATTGAAATCTACTCATTGAAATTTGCTCTTCAAATGATTCAAGTCAATCACTTCTGTCAGCCAGTCAGTTTGGCCAGGCACAAAGACGGTGGGAAGAGGTGCAGGGAACCAACAGTCCCAATGTTGTGAGTTTCACTGGATTTTGTCGTGGCAGGCCTTCCGAACCGCGCTGGTGAGGATGGAATTGGAGCAATTGGAGGAAGAAGTGCAGGTGCAGGTAGGGATCTTCGGCGGTGTTGGCACATCAGGACTTGTTGTTGCACCTCTTGTCCTATTCCTGCATGGGGTTAGGGTCGGGTGGAAATTGGAGACTTTCTCAATTATTTGCGCAGACTCAACGTCTTCAGCAGCTGTGCCAAACTCAGCTTTGCAGCATTTAATTTTCTGCAGCCATATTTGATGGGCCATTGAGAGCAGCTAGAATTTCTCCATTTCTTTATGTCCCACTGGTGGAACAGTATGCAACAGCTGCTGGCACTTTGGAGATGATTTGATGCAGCTGGGCTCTAGGCCATCAGAGGCAATTGAAGAACTGCAGATGTGCCTGGGCTCCCAGGATGGGGTCAGGTATTTCTGGCCTCCGCATCCACATCAACTCTACAAACGACCGTCAATGACCGGTGTGGAGGTGAAGAGAATCTACGAGACTTGAGGTGACAGCTGGTGTTGGATCATGTCTTGCTGGACCGTGGGTGTATGGATCAAAATTTCCAAGCCTTGGGACCAGATTTTGCTCCAAAATGCCAGGTTATCTCAACAGCAGCTGCAAGAAGAACTGGATGTGAGCTGCTCAGATGTGGGCTGTGTCCCATCAGGGCTCCCAAACATTTTTCCCGAGAGCGCCTGCGAAGGGTTCTTCGTAAAAAAGCAGCCGTTATACTAGATCTTCACTCCTTCACATCTGCTGATCTAGATCTTCACTCCTTCACATCTGCTGATCTAGATCTTCACTCCTTCACATCTGCGGATCTAGATCTTCACTCCTTCACATCTGCTGATCTAGATCTTCACTCCTTCACATCTGCGGATCTAGATCTTCACTCCTTCACATCTGCTGATCTAGATCTTCACTCCTTCACATCTGCGGATCTAGATCTTCACTCCTTCACACCTGCTGATCTAGATCTTCATACCCTCACACCTGCAGATCTAGATCTTCACTCCTTCACATCTGCTGATCTAGATCTTCACTCCTTCACATCTGCTGATCTAGATCTTCACTCCTTCACATCTGCTGATCTAGATCTTCACTCCTTCACATCTGCGGATCTAGATCTGCTTCTAGATCTTCACCCTCACACCTGATCTAGATCTGCACTCCTTCTCTGCAGATCTAGATCTTCTTACCCTCACACCTGCAGATCTAGATCTTCACACCCTCACACCTGCAGATCTAGATCTTCACACCCTCACATCTGCCGATCTACATCTTCACACCCTCACATCTGCCGATCTAGATCTTCACACCTTCACATCTGCAGATCTAGATCTTCACACCCTCACATCTGCAGATCTAGATCTTCATACCCTCACACCTGCAGATCTAGATCTTCACACCCTCACACCTGCAGATCTAGATCTTCACACTCTCACATCTGCCCGATCTACATCTTCACACCTTCACATCTGCAGATCTCCTCTCGCTCTTCTTCTATTCTCTCTTAAGGCGGGGGCGGTGCCGCCGGAGCGCCACGAAACGCAACCCTTTCGCACGAAATGGACGTTGGACGTCCAAAACCTAGGTAAAATTGCGATTTTGAAGCGTCGCCGGCAACCCCTTCGCACGAAATGGACGTTGGACGCCAAAAACTGAGGAAAAATTGCAACTTTTATTGGTCGCGCGCAACCCTTTCGCACGAAATGGACGCAACCCTTACGCACGAAATGGACGTTGGACGTCAAAAACTGAGGAAAAGTTGCAACTTTGAGGTGTCCCGCGCAACCCTTACGCACGAAATGGACGTTGGACGTTAAAAACTGAGGAAAAATTGCGACTTTGAGTTGTCAATCGCAACCCTTACACACGAAATGGACGTTGGACGTCAAAAACTGAGGAAAAATTGCGACTTTAGTTTGTCAATCGCAACCCTTACGCACGAAATGGACGTTGGACGTCAAAAACTGGGGAAAAATTGCGACTTTACTTTGTTATTCGCAACCCTTACGCACGAAATGGACGTTGGACGTTAAAAACTGAGGTAAAATTGCGATGGACGCTTTCGTTTGTGTAAAAGTGCCTGTGTGTAAAAGCGTCTGTGTGTAAAAGCGTCTGTGTGTAAAGGAGTCTGTGTGTAAAAGCTTCTGTGTGTAAAAGCGTCTGTGTGTAAAAGCGTTTGTGTGTAAAAGCCTCTGTGTGTAAAAGCGTCTGTGTGTAAAAGCGTCTGTGTAAAATCTTCTGTGTGTAAAAGCGTCTGTGTATAAAAGCTTCTGTGCGTAAAAGCACTTGCGTGTAAAAGTCTCTGTGTGTAAAAGCTTCTGTGTGTAAAAGCCTCTGTGTGTGAAAGTGTTGTGTGTAAAAGTGTCTGTGTGTAAAAGTGTCTGTGTGTAAAAGTGTTTGTGTGTAAAAGCATCTGCCTGTAAAAGCGCCTGTGTATAAAAGCGTCTGTGTGTAAAATCGTCTGTGTGTAAAAGCGTCTGTGTGTAAAAGCGTCTGTGTGTAAAAGCGCCTGTGTGTAAAAGCTTCTGTGTGTAAAAGCCTCTGTGTGTAAAAGCTTCTGTGTATAAAAGCCTCTGTGTGTAAAAGCTTCTGTGTGTAAAAGCCTCTGTGTGTGAAACTGTTGTGTGTAAAGGAGCCTGTGTGTAAAAGCTTCTGTGTGTAAAAGCGTCTGTGTGTAAAGGCGTTTGTGTGTAAAAGCCTCTGTGTGTAAAAGCGTCTGTGTGTAAAAGCGTCTGTGTAAAAGTGTCTGTGTGTAAAAGCGTCTGTGTGTAAAATCGTCTGTGTGTAAAAGCGTCTGTGTGTAAAAGCGCCTGTGTGTAAAAGCTTCTGTGTGTAAAAGCCTCTGTATGTGAAAGTGTTGTGTGTAAAAGTGTCTGTGTGTAAAAGTGTCTTTGTGTAAAAGCGTCTGTGTGTAAAAGCTTCTGTGTGTAAAAGCGTCTGTGTGTAAAGGAGTCTGTGTGTAAAAGCTTCTGTGTGTAAAAGCGTCTGTGTGTAAAAGCGTCTGTGTGTAAAAGAGTCTGTGTGTAAAAGCGTCTGTGTGTAAAAGCGTCTGTGTGTAAAAGCGTCTGTGTGTAAAAGCGTCTGTGTGTAAAAGTGTCTGTGTGTAAAAGAGCCTATGTGTAACAAGCGTCTGTGTGTAAAAGCGTCTGTGTGTAAAAGCGTCTGTGTGTAAAAGCTTCTGTGTGTAAAAGCTTCTGTGTGTAAAAGCGTCTGTGTGTAAAAGGGTCTGTGTGTAAAGGAGTCTGTGTGTAAAAGCTTCTGTGTGTAAAAGCGTCTGTGTGTAAAAGCTTCTGTGTGTAAAAGCGTCTGTGTGTAAAAGCGTCTGTGTGTAAAAGTGTCTGTGTGTAAAAGCGTCTGTGTGTAAAAGTGTCTGTGTGTAAAAGCGACTGTGAAAGTGTTTGTGTGTAAAAGCATCTGCCTGTAAAAGCGCCTGTGTATAAAAGCGTCTGCGTGTAAAAGTGTCTGTGTGTAAAAGCGTCTGTGTGTAAAAGTGTCTGTGTGTAAACGCGTCTGTGAAAGTGTTTGTGTGTAAAAGCGTCTGTGTGTAAAGGAGTCTGTGTGTAAAAGCTTCTGTGCGTAAAAGCGTCTGTGTGTAAAAGCCTCTGTGTAAAAGCCTCTGTGTGTGAAAGTGATTGTGTGTAAAAGCTTCTGTGTGTAACAGCTTCTGTGTGTGAAAGTGTGTGTGTCTAAAAACATCTGCGTGTAAAAGCGTCTGTGTGTAAAAGCCTATGCGTGTAAAAGTGTCTAGTGTCTGTGTGTAAAGGCGTCTGTGTGTAAAAGCCTATGTGTGTAAAAGTGTCTAGTGTCTGCGTGTAAAACCTTCTGTGTGTAAAAGCTTCTGTGTGGAAAAGCGTCTGTGTGTAAACGCTTCTGTGTGTAAAGCGTCTGTGTGTAAATGCGTCTGTGTGTAAAAGCGTCTGTGTGCAAAAGCGTCTGCGTGTGAAAAACAATACGAAGGATAGGATGCAAACCAGTGTTTTGTACTTGTAATATATTGTCTTGATACTACTTGTCTCGCCTGCCTAAAATACATCTTTAATATATTGTCTTGCAATATAGTGTCTCAATACTAACAACAGAAGACCCTGCTCTCTCTCTCTCTCCCTCTTTCTCTCTCTCTCTCTCTCTCTCCCTCTCTCTCTCTCTATCTCTCTCTCTCTCTCTCTCCCTTTCTCTCTATCTATGTCTCTCTGTGGTTGCAAGACACGTGTCATATGATGCCCTTTACCAAGCAGCACAGTGCATATGCATGGGTTGTCACATGTATCCTCTTCTTAATCAATCTTACTTTTCACAACTTACCCCTCCATAGCTCATATAAAATTCACCAACCTATCACCGACTATTTTTTACGACTACCATACTCAGAGCTGCTTGAAACACATCTTTTTCGCTCTCGGGCCAACCGTCGTCTAGTTGTTTTGCTGCTCCGAACATCCATCAATACCATATCCATAGAAACGGGGGGGGTGATGAACCATTGATATCTTCATGTTCCCCATTATGAAGCATTTGGACAATTTATTCAGATTTTTCCATCTTTGCAAAGACCCATTTGCAAGTTAAGAGTTTCAGTGCAATGTTTTCAAAGTTGCAGGGGTTGCGGCTGTCAGGCTTTATTGAGACCAAACAGAGAAGAAACTTCCACAACATCTGCTTCAAGCTTAGTGCTGGACGATTTTTCCAATTAGATGGGTTTCAAAACTTCTTGAAAACATCTCCCAACCATTCCCAAACCTTTTTTTTGGGTCATAACTTCTATCCATGGTGACTGTCCATTGAGATGATCAGGGCTGAAACGTGCAGCAGATCAGGCGGGGAAGTTGGAGCGGTGGAACATAGCAGAGGGCTTGAAGACTTCTTAGCGGACAACGGTAACCGGTGTCAATGATAACTCGAATTCTAGAAATGCAAACTGGATGAGTTGCCGGCAAGTTGCAATGGTCCAAAAGAATCCAACGTAATCGAAATGAGAACCTAAAAAATCCAACATCCTTAAGTATGACCAAGCGTGTGGTTGAAGAATCGAAGCACAGTGCTGGTTCTTGAGCACCGGGGTCAGGCTGAGAGGTTGAAGAAGCTGATGCCACAGGGTTATGTTCGTAAATTCCTTACAATCTCTCTGGAATTGTCCAGTTCGAGCCAATTTCTGGCTCAACATCCTTGCAGGTTGCAGAGGCAGTTCCGCCCAGACGCAGGGCATGAAGGAAATCCTCCCTCTTCGAGTGGTCCTAATGTTTGAGCTGGCAAGGTTCTGGAAGATCCACCAGGTCAGCTGAGAATCCACCAAATTCCAAGGATTCCAAGGATCAGATGTGCTGATATCATCCTGGCCTTCATTGGCCCGGAGAATTTTCTGGCATAGCATGGCAAAGCGAAACTTTTGAACGGGGCTTCACCCCACCCGCTCCTGATGCAGGGCCGCAGGGCTGTTGAACTTTTGATGACCAAAGATCTAGGTCGCCCTGGTGTAGAAAAGACTGCACATGTCGCTGCACTTCGCCTTCACAAAGTTTGGATTCGACAACATTTCAAGAATCATCCACTTTTTCCATGGTGGATGCTGCAGTGAATCCATTGAATCCATTGAATCCTCCTGGCTCAAGGGGAAGAACATGTAGTTTCTACAGGGCGATCTATTTTTTGAGTGCCCCAAGGGCAAGTGCGAGATTTTTGTTGGCCATGTTGCGTGCAATGATGGAGCAGGATGATGGGGCTCGTATGGTGGACAATGTGGGCTTGGAGCAGCTGGATGGAATTTATTGGGAAACGGCCAGAATCCAGGGATAAAAAAATATCTGAGTTATCCGGAGTCAATGTTTTTTGGGGATTTTGGACTTCACCTTCAAGCTTCTCTTGGAGATTACATATGAGATTATATATCCACAATGGTTGGGTGATGTTGAATTAGGATAATGACCAAGCCCTAATTTCTAAGAAATGACGTCTGGATCTCTTGCTTTTGTCTTGATGGAGGGATCTAGTACTAGTCTGGGACTGGGTCAACACACTTGACCTACCGAAGAAAGGTGTAAGTAGATCTGATTCACCACGTGTGGAAATACATGATCATGTTGATTTTGGGTGAACATAGTGATGTGGAAATGCCAGTCTATATGATATTCCAGACCAGACAAGATGGGCATTATTTCAAATGAGACTGGAACATTTTTGACAGCTTCCTCAGCACTTGTACTTGACGGTTGAGACCAATTATTTGGCCATGACTCAAGATGTTTGTCACCCACATATGCAGAAAATGGATGAAAATAGCGACATGTTGATGTCATTCCCTATACCATCTTCCTCATTTTTGAGCCATGCCAGGCCATATCCCATGGCCATTAAGTTGAAATGTCCCTTGAATCACTCCTGGTTTTCACTCGTCCCATCTCCATCTTGTCTTACTGCAACTTCCCACTTTCTCTTGGTGAAATCCTCAACAAAAAATCAGGTGAACCATGGTGAACCATCCTTAGACCTCGATTTTTTCGGCTTTCATCCCCACTGTTTCGCTGGTTTTCGGTTCCCTTCGGTTAGGCAAAGCATGGGATCCGCGGTGCAGAAACTGAACGCCTTGGGCACCAAGAGCTTCTCAGAACCCGTGATCCGCCATGCTGCGGAGCACGCTTTCAAGCCACATCAGAACCGGGAGGTCGGGAGACCACGGGTGACCATGGAAAGTGTGAGGTGATCTGTTTTTAAATCCAGATATTGATGGCAGCATATCCCGTTTTTCAATGGTTAACCCCACCTTGTTGATCCTTTTTGGATAAATCGGTGTCGATCATGGCGTTTCTTCTGATTTGATCTTGAAGTTTGATGAATTTATAGAGAAGGTATGCAATTTGAAAGCTGTGAGCCATTCTTTCCGAATGTTTTTTTTTGAAATGTTCTCTTTCAATATGAACCAGATCATACCAGATCTAAAAAAACATCTTTTGCACTGTTTCTTGTCCAGGAGCGTTCTCACTTGGGCTTGGTGCGTTTCCGCAAGCAGCACATGGTGCCGGATGTGGGTGGCCTCGGTTGGAGAACGAAGACTGGACATCTGTTGAAGAACCAGAGCTACTTCCCGCAGACCAAAGTGAACATCTGGGATGTCCCTGCCTGTGCTGGAGTCAACACTTGGCAGGACAGGATGTTGACCTAAGAAAAGCTGTATGAGAACATTAATATGTGAAAATCATGGAAAAATCATGGAAGGGGTTTTGCTGCAGAAAAACTGACCCACCGGGAAGGGCAGAAGTGGAGAATATTTCTTGTTGATTGGGAAGGGACATTCTCCAGCTTCTGGTGTTGCAGCGTTTGCAGGATTGGCACGGGCCAAAGATGGCAACAGATGCCGAGATGAACTCTTGGCATGCTTGGTTGCATATTTTTTTCTGTTGACTGGTCGGTAGTTGGGTCAATAAGTATGAGACTCATGCGAACCAAATAAACATGATTAGCAAATATAAGTGATATGAACACATTTGACATATGTCAATCTCAGCGAACAAACGATGTGTTGATCCCAATATGGGTTGTCTGAGTTGTCTATCTACAAAGACTGGGATGATCCCATTATAGACACATAGACTGATCAGTTGACTGGGATGATCCCAATTGACAAGTGAATGATATATTCACTTATTATAGTGATCATTATGGGAATATCATAATATAATCTATTATGATCAAAGGAAGTTTAGGGGGAGAAACTTCCGTGTTACGGACTTTTAGAATGTCAGGGAAAGAGTTAGTCAAAGAAAGAGTTAGCAAAGAAAGAGTTCGTCAGGGAAAGAGTTAGTCAAAGAAAGAGTTAGTCAAAGAAACAGTTAGTCAGGGAAAGAGTTAGTCAAAGAAAGAGTTAGTGAGGGAAAGAGTTAGTCAAAGAAATAGTTAGTGAGGGAAAGAGTTAGTCAAAGAAAGAGTTAGTGAGGGAAAGAGTTAGCAAAGAAACAGTTAGTCAGGGAAAGAGTTAGTCAAAGAAAGAGTTAGTGAGGGAAAGAGTTAGTCACAGAAAGAGTTAGCAAAGAAAGAGTTCGTCAGGGAAAGAGTTAGTCAAAGAAAGAGTTAGTCAAAGAAAGAGTTAGTCAAAGAAAAAGTTAGTCAAAGAAAGAGTTAGTCAAAGAAAGAGTTAGTCAAAGACAGAGTTAGTCAGGATATATGAGGTAGTCAAAGAAAGAGTTAGCAAAGAAAGAGTTCGTCAGGGAAAGAGTTAGTCAAAGAAAGAGTTAGTCAAAGAAAGAGTTAGTGAGGGAAAGAGTTAGTCAAAGAAAGAGTTAGCAAAGAAACAGTTAGTCAGGGAAAGAGTTAGTCAGAGAAAGAGTTAGTGAGGGAAAGAGTTAGTCAAAGAAAGAGTTAGTCAGGATATATGAGGTAGTCAAAGAAAGAGTTAGCAAAGAAAGAGTTAGTCAAAGAAAGAGCAAAGAAAGAGTTAGCAAAGAAAGAGTTCGTTAGGGAACGAGTTAGTCAAAGAAATTGTTCCCTCACTGTAAATGGGATTGCAAGTGGTGCTGGTGGAGGAGTTGCCGATGGAGTTTTGATGGAAGTCTCGCACGAAATGCGTTTTTGAGAGATAGCAGATGCACGAAAGCCTATGTTTTTCCATACAAAGTCCGTCCCCGAACCTCGATGATCTACCTCTGCGGTGCGACGGGTGCGAGACGGTCTCGTGTGTGGTCGGATCATGGTCGGATATGCTCGGATCATGGTCGGATCATGGTCGGATCGGTTCCGCATTGTAAATGGGGTTTCAACTGTTTTTCGTGCATGTGTGGTCGACAGAATTCCATTGTGATTTGCAACTGTAGAATCGTTCCCGCATTGTAAATGGGGTTGCAAGTGGTGCTGGTGGATGAGTTGCCGATGGAATTCCATTGTGATTTGCAACTCTAGGATCGTTCCCTCACTGTAAATGGGCTTGCAAGTGGTGCTGGTGGAGGAGTTGCCGATGGAGTTTTGAAGGAAGTCTCGCACGAAATGCGTTTGTGAGAGATAGCAGATGCACGAAAGCCTATGTTTTTCCATACAAAGTCCGTCCCCGAACCTCGATGATCTACCTCTGCGGTGCGACGGTTGCGAGACGGTCTCGTGTGTGGTCGGATCATTCTCGGACCATGGTCGGATCATGGTCGGATCGGTTCCGCATTGTAAATGGGGTTTCAAGTGTTTTTCGTGCATTAGTGGTCGACAGAATTCCATTGTGATTTGCAACTGTAGGATCGTTCCCGCAATGTAAATGGGGTTGCAAGTGGTGCTGGTGGATGAGTTGCCGATGGAATTCCATTGTGATTTGCAACTCTAGGATCGTTCCCTCACTGTAATGGGATTGCAAGTGGTGCTGGTGGAGGAGTTGCCGATGGAGTTTTGAAGGAAGTCTCGCACGAAATGCGTTTTTGAGAGATAGCAGATGGACGAAAGCCTATGTTTTTCCATACAAAGTCCGTCCCCGAACCTCGATGATCTACCTCTGCGGTGCGACGGTTGCGAGACGGTCTCGTGTGTGGTCGGATCATGCTCGGATCATTCTCGGACCATGGTCGGATCATGGTCGGATCGGTTCCGCATTGTAAATGGGGTTTCAAGTGTTTTTCGTGCATGTGCGGTCGAGAGAATTCCATTGTGATTTGCAACTGTAGGATCGTTCCCGCAATGTAAATGGGATTGCAAGTGGTGCTGGTGGATGAGTTGCCGATGGAGTTTTGAAGGAAGTCTCGCACCAAAAGCGTTTTTTTCTCCATTTTGGCGCTAGTGAATTTCCTTCTAAAAATCCTTGTAACAAGTGCTTCAAAATCTTCTTTTTTTCGCTCTGGCGTCGAGATCCGGTTTTGAAGCTACAATTTCCGACGCCGTTGCGCGTAGTTCTATTGTGTTTTGCACAACTCACATTGTAATGGCTGCGTCAAGGTTGCTTCATGCTGTGGCTGCATGCGTAATACTATTGTCTTTTGCAGCTGGACTTCGTAAATCGTATTGGAGTGGCTGCATGAAGGCTGCGACAGTGATTTGTCAGCAGATTTTCTCCATTTTGGCGCTAGTGATTTTCCTTCTAAAAATCCTTTTTAAAAAGTGCTTCAAAATCGTCTTTTTTTCGCTCTGGCGTCGAGATCCGGTTTTGGAGCTACAATTTCTGACGCCGTTGCGCGTAGTTCTATTGTGTTTTGCAACTCAGTCTCTGCAGATCGCATTGTAATGGCTGCGTCAAGGTTGCTTCGTGCTGTGGCTGCATTCGTAATACTATTGTCTTTTGCAGCTGCATCTCGTAAATCGTATTGGAGTGGCTGCATGAAGGCTGCGACAATGATTTGTCAGCAGATTTTCTCCATTTTGGCGCTAGTGATTTTCCTTCTAAAAATCCTTTTAAAAAGTGCTTCAAAATCGTCTTTTTTTCGCTCTGGCGTCGAGATCCGGTTTTGGAGCTACAATTTCCGATGCCGTTGCGCGTAGTTCTATTGTGTTTGCAACTCAGTCTCCGCAGATCGCATTGTAATGGCTGTGTCAAGGTTGCTTCATGCTGTGGCTGCATGCGTAATACTATTGTCTTTTGCAGCTGGACTTCGTAAATCGTATTGGAGTGGCTGCATGAAGGCTGCGACAGTGATTTGGCAGCAGATTTTCTCCATTTTGGCGCTAGTGATTTTCCTTCTAAAAATCCTTTTAAAAAGTGCTTCAAAATCGTCTTTTTTTCGCTCTGGCGTCGAGATCCGGTTTTGGAGCTACAATTTCCGATGCCATTGCGCGTAGTTCTCTTGTGTTTTGCAACTCAGTCTCCGCAGATCGCATTGGAATGGCTGCGTCAAGGTTGCTTCTTGCTTTGGCTGCATGCGCAATGTCTTTTGCAGCTGGATCTCGTACATCGTCTTGGACTGGCTGCATGAAGGCTGCGAAATGGATTTGTTAGCAGATTTTCTCCATTTTGGTGCTAGTGTTTTTTGGTTGCACGTAGGTTTAGAGCAGTGTGAAGTGTGGGGCGTGAAGAGTGCAGCGTGAAGTGTGCAGTGTGAAGCAAGCAGTGGGAAGTGAGAAGTGTGAAGTGTGGAGTGTGAAGTTTAAGTGTGGAGTGCGAAGAGCGCAGTGTGAAGTGTGAAGTCTGAAGTGTGAGGTTTGGAGTGTGAAGGAAGCAGTGAGAAGTGTGAAGTGTGGACTGTGAAGTGTGAAGTGTGAGTGAAGTGTGGAGTGTGAAGTGCGAAGTGAGAAGTGTGAAGTTTGGAGTGTGAAGTTTGGAGTGGGAAGGAAGCAGTGAGAAGTGAGAAGTGTGAAGTGTGGACTGTGAAGTGTGGAGTGTGAAGTGCGAAGTGAGAAGTGTGAAGTTTGGAGTGTGAAGGAAGCAGTGAGAAGTGAGAAGTGTGAAGTGTGGACTGTGAAGTGTGGAGTGTGAAGTGCGAAGTGAGAAGTGTGAAGTTTGGAGTGTGAAGGAAGCAGTGAGAAGTGAGAAGTGTGAATTGAGAAGTGTGAAATGTGGAGTGTGAAGTGTGAAGTGTGAAGTGCGAAGTGAGAAGTGTGGACTGTGAAGTGTGAAGTGTGAAGTGTGGACTGTGAAGTGTGAAGTGTGAAGTGTGGACTGTGAAGTGTGAAGTGTGCAGTGTGAAGTGTGAAGTGTGAGGTTTGGAGTGTGAAGGAAGCAGTGAGAAGTGTGTGGAGTGTGAAGTGTTTTGAAGTTTGGAGTGCGAAGAGTGCAGTGTGCAGTGTGAGGTGTGGAGTGTCGAGGGAAGGACACGGTCGGGACAGGTTGTCTTTGAACTATAGGTCATTTATGTTTGGGAAACTTCCGCCGCCGGCTTGCCCGGGTCTATGTTATGTGTTATCTATTGTGAATGGGAATATCATCTATTGTGATCCCAATTGACGAGTGATCATTATGGGAATATCATCATGGGATGATGATCCCAGTTGACAAAGGATGATCCCGATGCCAGGATGGAGCGATTAGATCGCTTTGATGAGGAACAGGTGGGGCTGCAGATCTTGATTCAACTTCTCCGTCTAAACATTCCCTGATTTCCCTGATTGATAATTATAGGGCATGATACTACCTGGATTATTAGAGATTATTATTTTATGATTATCTGATTATCATCATTTATCATCCATATTAACCAAGAACAGTGGGTTTTCCATGGCTTTCCTATATTATGTTAATATTAGGGAAATCTATCCACCAACTGTGGCTTTTCGACGGGATTCTCATCGCTTCATCGCTTCGCAGGCCGATTGGGAAGCGAAGAAACTCTTCGTCAACACCGTGCGTGCACAGACGTCGGCGCCTGAGGTCATCCTGTTGGTTAAAGCAACGACGAAACCAGCAGTTTTGTTCCACTGATGATCGATGAAACCACCAGTTTGTGAAACAAGTGTTTCCACTTTCCAACCATCCACAGTTTCCTTCCAAACTGGAAGATGGATGGAAAGTGGATTATGTGGATGTTCAAATCCAACTTAAGTTTCACCACATACCCTCTGGTAAACAGCCACATAGCTATGGAAAATCACTATTTTTAATGGGTAAATCCACTATTTCTATGGCCATTTTCAGTAGCTATGTTAAATTACCAGAGGGTATATCCCATGAAATCCCATTAAATCATATTAAATCCCATTAAACCACCATTTTCACCACATCCACTGGCAGGTTGGATCGTTTTGCCAATCGCAAGATCAATCGCAGCATGTTGGAGTCCCAACCCACTTGGGCGCCGCATCATCGCGCCAGACGGGAGGTGCCCCTATATATCTGATGGATGGGTTGGATTAATTTCTGTTGGTGTAATAGTGATCTATTGTCATTATATATATATTAATATATTATATATATATAAATTGATATAAATTATGATTATTTGTTTGATGATTGTCTCTACTTGATTCTGAATTGATAGTGAGAATGAAAACATGTCATATATGATTATATAGTGATATCGTTCTGTTTGTTTCGGAATGATGTATGATACTAAAAAGCATTGACATAGTTTCAAATTATGTGTGCCATCTCTGGTGGAAATATGTCCATCTTAACTGGGACGATTGATGATGTAAAGTGTGACTAGTATTTTACTAACAATACTAATAATCGCACCACTAACCAGAAATGATTTTGCGACGCAAATGTATGCGAGAGTAGTTCTTATGTTGGGATACACATTTGAATAAAAACATTCTGAACATCGCGATGTAAAGATGGCTTTGTCTGAAAATTGGCTACCCCAAAATTTGATGGTTATCATGATCTCATATTTTTCGCACAAAAAAACTCACTGTTTCTTGGGGTTTTAATACCCTCTTTGCAGACAAACCTAGATGAAGCTTCCCGAGCTCCGTTTCCCTTCGGTTCCCGGTGGAAGGTACATTGGACCAACGAGACCTTTGAGTCCAGTATGGGCGAGAAACCACAGAAGGAGCTGCAGAAGGTCTGGATGAAATCTGGTGTTCAGAAAAAACATCTTGGAACACCACCTGAAGTCACATGGGTTTTGGTTGAAAATCGGGTATACCGTATACCTCAAAATCTCATAGTTGATCACCATGTTCCCCATTGAAAAAGCCTTTTTTTGTTGGGTTATTTCCAGCGACACCCCTGGAGCCAGGTCTATACGGATCTGGTTCTGCGGCGCGATCGTCAGGGGATTCGGCAGATTGCGAAGCGCATCCAAAACGAAGAGACCTGGAAGGTGGTCTATAAGCAGGTCGAACAGGTGGGGGAGTGGTTGGAGTTGGAGGTCGCTTGAAATAGGGAAAAATCAATGTGGCTCACCGTTTTTTGATGAATATGGGTGTAAAACCCATGTAAAGCCCACCAATGAATGATATGATATGATTAGGATGCAATCCACGTCACATGATCGTCTATGGTTAAAGTATGTTAAAGTGGTTGATTCTTCATGTCCACTCCCAACTACGTCAGTTTGAGGGAGGTAAAATGGTTTTCTGAAGAGAAACCCACATCGATTTGGCAGAAATCCCGAATTGACATGAATTGAAGATATCAGTGGATCTGAGCAGGCAACTGGTAGAATAGAGGACCAAAATCAAGCCAAGTTTCTGACCTCCAAGCTCAATGCGTCAGGAGCGTCGCGCGGACATCCGTGCAGATCTACAAGAGCGGCAGGCGCACACGGATCGCTTGATGGCAATGTCTGGACAGCCCGTGCAGCAGGAGATTTGGTGATTTTGCTGGAGCTGGGTTAGGTTTCTTTCCCTTTTTTTTGACCTTTGAAACTATGAAAAAGGCAAGTTTGAAACATATTGGTAACCTAGTGGATTTATACATATCATATATATTTGTTTATTTATTTATTTATTTATGATAATATGATATGAGTGAATATAAGATCCTATCAGATTATGACATCAATTTTGACATGAAGTTCTAGTTCCACACTTCGATCCAGCGCAGGATAGACGGCGCGAGCCGTTGCCTAACAACTGCTCGCAGAGAAGCGAGGAGAAGTGGTGCATTTTTTTCCTGGTGCCATGAAGAGTCATCATTTAAATGAAGTTTATAGATGTTTATAGATGATTTTCCCATTGAAACCTCCATTTCGATCGGGGATGTCACATCTGATTATCCAAAGGTAAATGGATTTTAAGCCTTCAAGGACTTGATGATGGCCCTGCCATCATCCGCTTACTCTCGGTATCTGCAGTTTCAGGGGTCATATCCCAAGTTCTTCTTTGGTTACGATCAGTGTGGTTTTACGGTAAACCCAACAATAATCCTTCATTTTTGGTGTGGTTTATAGAGATGAGATGATCCATCAAATTTTGGTAAAAGAAATCTCAGGGATGGTTTACAGGCCCAAGAAATTCTAAATGAAAACAAGGATCCAAGAGGTCATAGCAATTGTGGCAGTGAGTGGATTTGCAATGAATTTTGAAGTGGGCTAGACTTCAAACGTTTTTTGACCGTCAAATCTCCTGCATTTCCGATGGGACTTTGATCATCATGTATGATATTAGCGTTATTTGGTGAGGTTTGTCAGGCATTTGCTTACTATGGGAGAAACACCATGGCAGGAATTAGTGACGAAATAACGGCGAAATCAAAACGACATATGGAAATAAGACGGAAATGGAATACGGGAAGAAACATAATAAAGAAGTAATGGGGAAATAATAGGGACATAATAGGAAAATAATGGGGAAATAATAGGGACATACGAAATATTAGGGAATAATAGGGCAAGAATGGGGAAATAATAGCGACATGGGGAAATAACCGAAATTTGGACAGATGCAGCAACAGTGGTGAGAGCAGTCAGAGAAGAGAAAGAGTCAGAAGAGAAAGACTCGGTAGAAAGAAGATCAAGGTGCCCGAAAAGGTAGAAAAGTCGCGAAACTGTGTTTTTCCAATATTTTGTGGCTCCGGATAGCGGCGGGAGCGGAGCCATCTGGTCGTGTGAGAGACGGAAAATTGCATGCCACTGTGGTGCGAAGTCCATTTTGAAGTCAAAATGCATTAAAAAAACCTCATGTTCGGAGCACTTTTGGAAGTTGAGATGTTGAGAAAGTGCACGCCATTGTTCCGCGAAGCACATTTCCAAGCCAATACTGATAGAGCGCACCATTTTCGAAACACTTTGTCGAAGTTGACATGTTGAAAAAGCGCACGTGGCTGTGGTGCGAAGCTCATTGGACCACTTCTGGAAGTTAAAATGTCGAAAACGTGCACGCAGCTGTCAGGCGAAGCACGTTTCCAATCAAAATTGTTTAAAACTGACGGTCTCGGCCCTTTTTTTGAAGTTCAGATGTGGTCTTGCATGGCAGGCGCTAGGGAAACACGGGGGACAATTAAGGAGATAATAGGAATATAATAGGAATATAATAGGGGAAACAAGGGGGAAACAATAGAGAAAGAATAAGAAAAGAATAGAGACATAATAGGGATCAATAGGGAAATAAGAGGGAAACAAGAGGGAACAATTAAGGAGATAGTAGGGAAACGACAGGGAATCGATGGGGAAACAGGAAGAAGTAGTGAAATATTCCAAAATAATTGGGAAAGAATAGTTTACAATTTCGAACAGCATTAACAATTCGCAAAAGTTGCAAAAGAAATAAACCCATTTAGAACACCACTAACAACACCATTACCTTAGCAGAGCCATTCAGAACACCATCAAAAAAATGCAACATAGACACCATGCCTATAGACGTATTGAAGTCTTGTTTTCCGTTCTAATTCCATTGTTTTAGGATGTTTTAGGATATGGCAGTTCCATATAAATTCCATATATTCCATATAAACCCTTGGGTCTCTTTCACTTGGAACTGCCTGATCCAAATTTCCACGAGTTGCGTCACACCCAGAAGTGGTGGCGATGATTGAGGATTAGTAGACTTGGAATCGGAATCCATATAAATTCCATAAAAATTCCATATCCATACATGTTTATTGTAGTTCCATATATTCCAAGTGAAGATATCCCAAAATAAAGTGGCATTACCAGGAGCTCTCCTTGCCCCGTTCCTTGTGGAGACCCAAAGATGTGACACAGCTCACGGACTTTAGGGGCCTCGTTCATGTGGGGCTCCGAGGAGTGGTAGGGTGGCTTTTTTGGATGTGTCTTGTACCGGAAAACATGGAGAAAAAGTGGCAAATGTCATGGCAAAAAGGTGGAAAATTCATTGCAAAAATTGATAAAATCATGATTTCGCCCTGATTTTGCCCAAACAAATTCGAAAGACCTAGTGGGGTAAAACTGTGAAACCAAAAATGGATGGATTTGTTACAGATTGAAATTGAAATTGACGGATGTGGACACGATGTGTTCATGGTGGATGACAATCCCATGACGGATCCATGGTGCTGCTATATTAATGGTGTGCCATGGATCCCATCAATATACCCCCAAATAATGTTAGCATTAATATATGATCCATCATATGGGTAATATATATATATAGGATATCCATATCATCATTATCCAATGTTATTATATCAATATACACCAGCACCATGGATCCTATATAATAATGTATATGATAACATTATATCCATACATGGATCCATTATATGATATAGCTGATATCCATTATATAATATGGATCATGATTATCCATACATATCCATACATGGATCCGTCATGGGAATGTCCCCAGGCGGACAGTGAATTTGCGCTGGAGACGCTCTTCCCGGGCTTCGGCCATGAGTTGAGCTGGCACCTCATGGGACCAACGATATGGACCATGAACAATATGTGGGTCACAGAAAAAAAACATGTTTTTTAGGATATGAATGGATATGATATGATATGATGAGCAAGGATTTTTCCCATCATTTTCTTTGGATATGCTATTTGGATAAGATGAATTGGTACCGAGGCACTGAGTTTAGAGCAGCCACCACCAGGACAGCTTGTCTGAAGTCACCTTCACATGCTCAACCACATACCCTTTGGCAAAATTTCCATGGAATATGTCCTAAACTTTTGTTGGTGGATTTCATGAGATTTCAAGGTTTTGAAGTTTGACCTTGTTTCAACCCCCACCACCAGTACCTCAAACTCATGTCCAGTGCAACAGATCAGGAGTGTTGAGCCGGGTTGGTCCAGCGCTTATCACCCTCGCGACCTCCACGTTTTCAGCATTCAACCCACGACCAAAACATGTGAGTTCCTCATGTTTTGCTCTTAAGTATGGTAAATTAATATCAATTAACATCAATTAACACATCAATTAACATTATTTAATTAACATCAATTAACATCAATTAACATCAATCATCAATCATCAATCATTAAACCCCCCAAAAAACATATTATTCAACATCATCTAAGCCCCTAAAATCTCCACCGCGAGTCGAACGAGGCCTCCCCCACCGGTTGCTCCAACACCTCGACGACATCGCGGGCCATCCCGAGAAAAGGCGATCAAAAAGGTGCCCCGGTGCCATGGGGAAAAATGATGAAACATGATGATCATGATGGATTCATGGGATATTCATATAATTCATATATAGTGTGTCAAGAATCAAAGAAAAACTTGAAGATTATTTTAGAACACCTCTCAACATTTTTCCATTTTTTTTCTCCAGATCTACAAGAAAAATACATTTTGCCATCTACCACTGGGGTCCAATGTACCGCCAGGGCGCCACGGTGATGAAGGGTTCCATCCCTGTGTCCAAACATCGCCTGCAACGGATCGGCACACGCACCAATGAAGACCTCCTGGCGGAGCATTCCAAGGTGGGGATCCGTTAAAGGCAGAGGATTCAAACTTACGGGATTTTATGGGATTTGAATGGGATTTTATGGTGGTTTAATGGGATTTAATATGATATACCCTCTGGTTATTTAACATGGTAAGTTTGAATGGTAAGTATACATGGCCCAGTTATAGATGGCCCAGTTGTAAATGGGTTATTTAACAGTTCGCCATGGTATAGATGGCCCATAGAAATAGATGGTTTACCGGGTTTACCGTTCTCAAAAATGGGTCGATCTTTCCATGGCGAACTGTTAAATAACCAAATGGTAAGTTGTTTTTTTGATGTTGAGTCTGAAGTACCTTATTTTTCTTGGAAGTGTAAAATTGTCAAATCGCGTTCCGTTTCAGTTTATGGACATGTGACATGTTGACGGTGAAACTTGAAGTGATTTGACTCTAATTGGTCATCAAGCAGTTGAGATTTCAACGTACCCACATCGGGGGAAGGCCATTTAGTCGTAGACTCCCTCAAAGCATTCCCAGATATGGGTTTGTCAGAAGATTGGTATTTCCAGATTCATTAGTTCATCACATGTTTGTTGCGGCCATAAAATGAAGGAAAGTCTTCATTGGCAGACACCCCCATATCATATCTGATTCTTGCTTACACATCTCATTTTATCCCTACGATATCGTATCCCATTATACTTCCACAAAATGGTTAAAGATGATTAATTTTAGACCCACTCATTTCATTTTTCCCTATCAAACAGTTCCCTTGTACTCAAACAATTGGTTAATTAGGTTAATTATAGAAATTATAAACTTGAAGAATATAAATCAATATAATATATCCCAAGTAATTATCATTTGTCTCCCATTAAAACAAGCCCTTAAAAAATTGACATCACTTCGTCAGGCACAGTTCTTGCGGACCATGGCGCCTCCGGCGCCTCCGCAGAAGATCACGCTCTTGGAGGAGGAGCCATGATTTTTTTACTCGATTTCCATATGATAAATGTGGGACTTTGGGGTGGGGTGATGTGCAATGGTGGACTGGTTGAATTTTGCAACCAACCTGGGGTTGTGGAACGGGAAAATTGAGACGTACCGTCTGGGGCGTGAAAGACCATGCCAACTGAAGGTGTTGTATGGTGCAGCGTTGTCGTCCTCATTTTCCTTTGGTTCAAGAACAATAGAAGCACACATCACATCAAATTGACACTGAACAGTACACATCTTAACACGTCTTAACATATCTTAAAATATCGCAACATATCTTCACACATCTTAACATATCTTAACAGTCTTAACACATCTCAATGTATCTTGGCATATCTTAACATGTTTTCTCAGAATGTCCTGTGATGTGGGGCTGATGTCTGGGCTAGTTTTCTGGTTGATCTTTAAGTGGGGCTGGGCCAAAGTACCCAAAGGTGCTACAAGCTGCTCAGAGAACCTCATGATTGTGTGGTTCAACTATTCATACCATTGCAACCAATGGAAGAAACAGATACTGTGAATCAATCATGATTACATTGATTACATAATCATCATCAATCATCATCAATCATCATCAACCACCATAAAACTACTTAAAAATTAATACAGTCCAACGAAACCCATTAAACGTCAATGACAATGAACCCCAAAATTCATTCACCTTCATTCATCTCCATTCCAAATCCCAACAACAGAAACCCATAGACCCAATGATACAACATCCAAAACAATCGTCAAGAACCCATTCAAAAATCATCAATCAAACAAAAAACATCTCCGGAAAAATATCCATATCATATTTTCTCATCATTTTCTCATCATTTTCGGATATCCATATCATCATTATATGATATCCATCGTTTTTTCTCATCATTTTCTCCCCATGGAGGTGACTTCCACCGCCAGGACTTCTCTCCAAAGGTCACCCAGATGGACCCCGCGAGGGTCACGGGCAGCTTCGCGCGGACGGAGCATACGCGCCATCCCACGTCGCCCAAGGTGGGGAAGCCAAAAACCATCAGACAAAACCGGGGTTTGTGATGGATTTTGATGGTTTTTGATGGATTTTGATGATTTTTGATGGTTTTTGATGGATTTTGATGGGTTTTGATGGGTTTTGATTGTTTTTGAGGGTTTTTGAGGGTGTTTGATTGTTTTTGATGGTTTTTGATGGATTATTTCCCATGATTATGATGTTTTACATGTTTTTTTTGGTGGAATTCCCAGATTTGAATGGTTGTGTTACAGTGTAGTGGGATTTAACTTGATTCAATCATCAAAAAATGGGACTATCATGGATAGTTCCTTGCGTTTTCCAATGCTTTTTGATGGTTTTTATCATGGTGTAGTCTGATCAGCCAAAATCCCGACCGCGATTTCCGAGGCGCAGGAGAGTTTGCCACCCCCACGGCGGTCCATGGTCTACAACGTCATGGTGGAATCCCAACCGGCTTCGCCCAAGGCGAGTAAGAAGGTGCGCCATGGGATGCCATGGGATACTATGAATGAAGATCTATGAAATCTTGTAATCATTAGATGATTTGATGTTACTTGATATACATACTAATATTACTTTTATCGTCTTATATCATCTTATATCACTATAAATAAGTAATATTAGTATATATAAGATCGTATATTACTATAGTAATATTACTTTTGTATTACTTTTGTATTACTTTTGTATGACTTTTGTATTACTTTTGTTGTTTCATCTCATACTATACTTATATTACTATAAATAATTACAAAAGTCATCTTGGATCGGCCTGCAGGGATTTGCCTCGGCTGTGAGTTCAGTGAGATCGTTGAGGTGCCGCATCCGTAGCGGGAAGGATCAGTTGACTCTGGGTTGATTCGTTATGAAATAAGGGGTCTATCATGGTCTATCAACCTGTGATTTATTTGGTTTCTTCACCTATACCTGGTTTATTGATGATAGCCTATTTATTGTCTTTCTTCACCTTTGCCTAGTTTGTTGATGTATATTCATCCTGTAATTATCTGGTTTATGGTTATTATGCGGTTGATTTAGCCTATATTATGGTTAATTGGGGACGACGAACCGACCTATTTTTGGGAAAAACCTGTTCTGAGCCAAGCAGCGTTTGGCTGGACCATAGCAGGACAAGGTCATCACGCTTACGCACCACGGGCATCTTTCATTGGGGTGAATGATGGTTTATCAGATGTATGTTGTTGTATAGTGACCTTCAAACATATCTACAAGTGATTCAGCATTATTTCAATATATTTGACATCTATAAATCTTGGGGCTTGTAACAAAAGCTGAGAATCACGGGCTGAGTTTTGTTCGTAGGTTGAGTGCTTCAGCACCACAGCTCTGGTCTTTGCCTCGATGGGCCTTTGATGTCATGTGGATGTTGTGTGGATGTTTGAAGTTCCAAAGTTTCAGACAGGTCAGTGAAATCTGGGTTTTATATGATTTGATTGTATTTGATTTGGAAGTTCCTGAAATGTGTGGCCGAATGATGTCGAAGAAGATTGAAGGTTCCATAGTTAGATTCCACTCGGAATCTGCCTTTGTGCATTGAGGCCACTTCATTTTGATGGAGAGCCTTCACAGGCGCGTCAGCTCGCTCCGCTAGATCGCTCCGCTGTGACACTTTGGATCAACCGGGCCTTGATGGCTGAGGTGATGTCGAATGTTTGTGCTGACCTCGATGACTTCGAGGCCGTATGATGCAACAGATGAGGGCGTTACACCACCAATGACTGGGCTGTGGAGGGATTACTTTGAAAGAAAATAGCATCAGTTTGGGGGATATATCCATGAATTCCGCTTAAATCCATGGTGCACATTGGTGCACTAGATCTGACTTGATGTTTTTATGGGTTTTGCACTAGCCTTTCATCATTTTTGATATATGTTGGTTATTTTGATCCCCCTCAACAACACCCTCTATGGGAGACACCCTGAGGCACGTGTGACTCCAATGCCACGCATCAGCAACTTCTTCTCTGAGGATCATTACCGCCGGGGGCCGTACAAGGACTCCTGGAATCTCCATGAAAGTGATGAATAGCATCAAGAATGCCATGGATTTTGAAGAAAACTTTGGCCTTCATGACATTTTTCATATCAAAGACAGTTTTTTAGAGATTTTCCTTTCATGGTTCATCATCCAAAATCGTGTCGCCACCTTGTGTTTTTAGCTGACTGATCCTGGCTTTTCCATGGGAGAAAATTTTGACGAAATCAGGTCCGCGAGCATCTTCGGTACACAGCTGAGCAAGTCGCGGCTGATTCAAGATGATTTGGAGCTGAAACTTTCGCTAGCAAAATCCATGGACCTGAAATTTGTGCATGGAGCAGATTTGTTTGGAAGTTTGAGGTTTCTAAAGTTCTTTAACTTTCAGGGAAAAAAACCTTCTGATGTGGATGACGCTTCCGAGGTATGTCAATGATCGCCGGTGGGGAGGCTGGAAGAACATTCTTCTCCTTCAAAGCTTAAGATCTAAGATTTCAGATGAACCAAGCTATGGAAATTCATCGAAATTTCAGAGGAAGTTAAGGAAGTTGTTGGTTTTTGAAGGAAAGAAATCCTCCAAGCTTTGTGCATAGACATAGATTCGATGCTTGATGTTTCACACAGCTGTTCGAAAAGTGCCACACCTGGATGCGATGCATGCGATGCGACTGGTGGCGGGTCACCACTTCGCCCAGGAGTCAGCCGTTACACTTCTGTCAACGCCGCGTCACAGGTACTTTCACGATCAATATGAATGTGTGCAAAAGGAAACAAAATCGTGAAAAGGTATGCGGCTTACCCATCTACCACTTCTTTTGAAGTTTTTATGTGATAATATGTGATAATATGTGATAATATGTGATAATATGTGATAATATGTGATATAACATCACAACAGTACATTCCAAGAATTGAGCATCTGTTTGAATCAGGGCTCCAAGTTCATGACAGACCCAGAGTTTAATTGAGAAGGGATGCAACGATGCAACAAGCTAAAGCAAGCCACAACCCAAATCAGCAAGACTTGTTATTGCCTATGGCTGCACGCCATGACGGCCGAACTGAAAGAGTTGAGCTTGGAATATTCCTACAACCAGTTGCAAGAAGTCACTTGGCATATCGTGGCATCTCAGATGCCCCTAAAATTGCTATGGCAAAAAATGGTGTAAATAATGATCCTGACAAATCACAGGGCAAAAATGATCATAATCATGATATTAATCAGGATCATTATTTACACTAATCATCAATAAAATGACTATTATGCTAATCACCATGATCATTATTTCCAATCAGAAAATTCCAGTGTAGCATACTATTTCATTGGTGAATAATGATCATATGCTTTTTCCAATAATCATAAACTGATCATACTACGGATCATAATAATCCAAAAATTGGAAAAAATGATCATGACAGTACAATTGCATAATTAAATCACAATGGGTAGAATACTATTGATTACCATATACCAACGAAAGGTACAATAATGATCAGAACCCATGGGATTTTCTGATGCTCATGATATCCCCCAATGGTTTCATCCCGCTGTCCATTGAGGCAACGCAGAATTTCCATGAGGACAATCGTCTCGGTTCCTCGGTCCTGTTGGTTGAGGATGGGGGACCCAAAAATCAGCTGATTCATCATCATTTTCCCATATTTTCCCTAGGAAAATGTATGAAAATGGCCTAGAATCTCCTAAAATGGTGTGTATAGAGACCATGTGTTCAGAGATTTTCAGACACAACGGAGTTCAACGGAGGATGAAATTGTATGAAGCATCCTCAGCTGGCCCTGAAGTCTTGGGGGTATTAAACAAGGCAGATGTTGGAGAATCACATCGCAAACGTTAACCATTGGCCAGTGGATAAGCCTGTGAAAAGACTCTCAGGTGTCGGATCTTTCGGAGGAGTTTTCAAGGGGATTCAGCATGATGGCACTGAAGTTGCCATCAAGGTGTGGATCTTTCTGACAGCTCTGGGCAGTGCACAGCTGGATGGCTGAATTCATCTCCGCTTGGATGTTGTTATTTGTTTTGGTGATTCAAACCACCCAGATCATCCACGTTCTTTTGATTGGCTCAATCGTGGCCCACACATTGAGTTGCTTAGTTCTGCCTCTTTTCTTCAACGCATCATCACCATCTTGAGCAGCGTTCAGAGACCCGTTGGTGGATGATTACTTCGGGATGATACTACTGTGGATGGTTGCGAACTCCTGCACCACCAAAAGGATGGTTGAAACCCTATAAATAATGGGATAAACCTCCTATCAACTGGTGCAGGATTTCTTCTATCCACAGTACCATATATATATACACATACTGTTTATATTATGATATATGATATATGTGTGATTATGTGTGTAAATTGGGGATGATCACAATCCATTCGGGGAATATATAGATTGCCTTTTCCCACTGGCTGGTTGATTAGTAGATATTAGTAGAGAGGTCTCCTATGTAACAATCAATAGGTAAATGATAATGAATGGTATACCAAAGCGAGCCCTTTATTTTTTCCAAAAGGACACCGGTCAGTACGGGAATCCCGTTCTGAACCAACCAGTCCAGACGGAAAAAACTGGCCGAAGGTGTTGGGTTTGCCTGACCAAGCAGGCTTTGAGGCTCAGCTGGAGCACAAATTGGTTGATCATTTTCCCCCAAGAAACATCAGAAATACAGAAATAAATACAAGTTGTTTATTCTGAATGATTGACTAGAATGATATTCGATGATGTTTTGACGAATATTCGATGATTATCACGGATTTCATGTGATATCATGGGACAGGTGTGATGATTATGGATGGGATTGGATGTGATAATTCATGATGATCATCCAGTCATCAGTCCTTCCTCCTTCGGAGGTTGGCATGGCATGACACCCATGATTACCACCACACAGTTATTTGCACGATGATCAGTCATATCACCATCCTTATTGGTTGAATCATGTTGAACCCCCAATATTTTTGCTGAACTCAACCCACATTACCAGGTTTATCTTTATATTGGTTGATACCTCCATGTTTGTTGCTTAAGACTTTGATGAATAAAACCAGTTTCATTGGTTATTCAGTTATTTATATATTATGTATAGAATGTATCGTTGCGTAGCGGCGTAGCATTTATACCATTATTTTCCATCATATACCATTAATTACACATATCATCATATATACATATATAATCATCATATATAAATATATAATCATTATACACATATTATATATATATATACGTATTATATATATATATATATACCATACGTATCATCCAATCATCCCATCCCATTGCAGGAAGAGGTGCGCGTGCTCAGCAAGTTTCGCCATCCCAATTTAGTGATCCTCATGGGATTCGCCAAGAACGGCCCGGAGCGACTCTTGGTCTACGAACTCCTCGGGGGGGGCGACGTCTTCCATCGCTTGCAGAAATGCGCCACCGAGAATGTGCGAAACTGAGATTTTTCGGAATGGGGATGGGATGGCACTTGAAACATGGGCAGAAAGTTGGAGATGGGAGCTACAACATGCTACAACCAACTTGAACATATGGATATGGATACATGTGATGAGAATTCATGAGATATGAAGCAATAAGATGGATCGGGGTGAAGCTTTGAGACCTGTTGACAGCAGATGGAGTTGCCATGTTTCGTCAGCGTCATGCTCTGGGGTTCTCTCTGTATTCCCTGTAGACCCATACCCAATTCCATGAAAGTGGACTGGAACGTGATTGGATGAGTTGGTTTTTGCAGCATCCTTCCAAAGTTCCAAAGTTTCAATATCTTTGTCTATCTTTGCCCTAGATTCCCAAGCCATGTTCCTTGCTCTCCTTTGGCAAACCATGGCACCATCGCCTTTAACCGAGAAAACTCAGGTGCCCTTCCCCTGGAAGCTTCGCATCAGTGCGGCCTACGACGCATCTTGTGGTGCTTCCGGCTGAAATTCGCTCGAAAAATACCTGGAACTTCCCAATATTTGTTGATTCATGTTGACTATATCAACTCACATTGCCATTGTTTGGAATGGTAAGTACGTTCATATCCACGATAGTTCCCAGTAATTATCATTGTTGCCCTTAAAAAAAATGACCGTAAAATGGTGGTATACGGAGACAGCCGCAGATCTGCCAGTGATTGCCAGGTCTATCGCACCTGCACAACTCGACACCCAAGGCACCTTTCATCACTTTGTTAAACATGGCAGGCAGATGTCGCAGGTTGGAAGCAGATTGCAGGATTCAGCAAACCAAATGGCGGATTGGTTTTCATTGGATGTTCCAGCTGTAGCTGCCGAAATGGATCCTTCCTTCCTTTTTGTTCTGTGTTAATCTCACCAGTGAGTCAGGTCTTTCATCGAGACATCAAGTGCCCGAACATCCTGCTGGCATGGCTCTCAGCGTTGACCATGGCCTGATGCTTGCAGCTGTGGTTCATCATGGTGATCCCCCGTGATATTCTATATGATACTGTATATGATTGTAGATGTGATTACACAGAATTGCCCCAAAATCAAGGACCCCCACAATGAATAGATTCGATTAGATCATAGCTTTACATAGATTTACTGATACTAAACCAGGCTTTCTCTGGCGGCTATTTCACATCAGGGGCTAGAAATTGACCTTGTACTGTACCTCGAAGGGGTGCCCAGTCCTCCAGTCGCTGTGCGACACGAGGATCGCAATGGAACAGCAAAAATGGCCGACTTCGCCTGTTCCTCAAACTGCCCAAACGATCAGTTTGGTTGGGCAAACGGCATATTTTTCATCCTGAAGCATTGATCGCACGGCAGTCCCTCCCGTCCGGTGTGGTCGATGTGAATCTCCATATCCTCAGGGACTTGCTTGCTGTTCACATGCCAAAGAGACGAAAGTCCAGCAGGCGCCATCCTGAATACCCCATTTGGTGGGGAAATGGAGGAATGATCCATGACAACTATATAATATAACTATGGACAATCACCCTATTCATCCATTAATAATATTCATAACTATGAAGAATCATCCCATTCCCCCACTACGCCACTAAGCACCAGTCTTTCACATCTCAAGATCACGTTTTTTTTTGTGAAGATTCAGCCATCCCAACGGATTGAAATGGGAATATCAAACCATACCAGTCCCCAATTTCAATCCATGTTTTAAGTTTTAAGGACTTCATATTGATATAATGAATATTAACATATATTAATAACATATTAATTAACGTATTTATATATATATATGAACATATGAGTAACCGACAAAATTAGCGGAAGACTAAAGTAGTGGGGAGTGGACATGGAAGGTTTAAATTTGTGCGAAAACATGCACAAACGATAGGGGACCACCCACTTTGTCCATGTCCATTGCGGGTAGGAACTAATTTTGTCCGCCACTCATATATTAAGAATGATGTTGAATATTAACATTTATTAATCACATATTAATTAACATATGAATTAACGTATATTTATCACCATTGTTCTTCCCAAGTCTGGGCACGGGAGCCAGGCTGCTGGCACAGTGGGTTACGCTTGTCCCCACTATGTCAGCAACTCTGTGGTGACTGAACGCAGCGAGGCGAATGGATGCGAATGGCAGATGGCATCAGGGTGACTTATCCATGAAAAATGGGGGAGAGAATGGAGAAAAACATGGATCATGGGGAGATAATGGGATAGAACTGATATAACACATGTTGTTTTTAACTGTTAGATGGGGATATAACTGGACATACAACAGTCTAGAACCAACTTACTTATGTTATTATCATCTATTTGGGTGTTTGAACATATGTTATTTTTACAGGGAAATTATGATTGAGCCTCAAGTTCTTTGGGGCCCCCAAATATCAAGCTATGTGTGAGGTTGAATTAAAACGCTGATTAAGAGATATTAAGAGGTGTCCATCAATTTCAACAAACCTGCATATGATTGCACATGTGAAAATACTCACAAAGAAATTCCGGGAATGCAGCAACAATTAATTGGTGATGGGGATACGCCTGGAGGATACCCCAAGAAGTGCCATGTGAATGGGTACAATGATGCTAGAAACCACGGGGTCCTGGTTCCCTCATGTGCTTCATGCAAAAAAAACGAGGCTCAAACGATGAACTCCCCGAAAAAAGGGCCAAAAGATGAACGGTTTTGGTCCAAAAAAAATCACTTAATATCATCTTAGTTCATTCCATTTCACCATTTCAATCCAATTTCCTCCCCATTTCCATCCATTAAATCACATTAAACCACCATTAAACCACCATTGAATCACCATCAAATCACCATTTCACCATTTCTGGGTCCCAGGAATCTCCCGTTGCTTGTCGGTCGGGGTGTCGATGGCAGGTCTACAGTTTCGGCATCGTCCTCTTGGAGTTGTTAACTGCTCGCCCACCGGCCTCCAAGTTTCAGGCCATGGATCATGGGATTATGGCCATCCCAATGGCACTGGTCTAGCATGGCATGTCTAGGGTCGGACTCTTCCACGGCTTGGGGGTTGTGAAGTGAAAAAATTACTTGAACTTCCAAGTTGTTTAATGGTGGAAGTGCTGATTCTTCAGGTTCGCAAACTTCTAGTGGAGCTGTTGAATGGATTACAGTGGATATACAAGCGGAATCAAGGGAAGGGGCATCAATGATGGTGCTGTACGTGCTGTACCATCTTCCGCCCGGGAGGTTCTCATACATTTTTTTGGGGTTGTCATTCACAATGTTTAACAAAATGTAAGGAATGGTGACCCATTGGATGCTATCTATAAGATGTTAGTAGAAGCAATCTCATTATTTGGTGGACCATCGGTTGACATTGTGACCAAAAAAATCAGGATGTGACCATATGTGACCCAGTGACCCAGGCATCAACTTCACCAAAAAGTGGATCACCGGTGGTTTTTCCATGACAATATTCCCAGCATTGGTCAAAACATATGAGCAGTGTTCAAAACCCCCTGTTGGATTATTAGATGGGGTTATAAACTGTCCTGTATATATTGGGGATTCTCACAATCCGTGGAAAATCATCCAAAAACCTATGGTTTCTCCACCATTGGTAATAAAACACATAACAAAATTAAGCTTTAAAAAAACTGTTTCCCCACCATTTTGGCAATAAACACATTTAAAAAACATTAAAAAACCTATGGTTTCCCCACCATTTTTGGTAAAACAGTCAGGAAAACCCCATGGTTTGTCCGGTTCTTCCCACCCCAACAACAGCCCTTCCGGTTTTTCGGCGTTGCCAGGCGCCCGATGGCAGCGATCAGTACGAGTTCCTGGTGACCGCCTTGGGCTACAACGTGCGCACAGCCGTGCAGGCGCTGGACAAGAAGGCCATGCATCTGGTGGGGTTGGAAGATCTGGGGAGAATTCATGGGAATATCATAGGAATACCATAGGAATACCATAGGAATACCATAGGAATATGGAAGATCTGTGGGGAGTTCATGAGAATTTCCATGAAATATTGGTGAATCTCCATAGGAATATCATGGGAATATCATGGGGTTTTGTAAACTTATCGTTTGGATCCATAGTCGTCACCATGGTTGTTTCAAGTTTCAAAGTACAATTGGCTCCCCATGACTGGATGATTTTTTTATACCCTCATGACCTCCCGAAACCTCCGTAACATCTTGGGAATAGCCTTCGATGAATGACGGTGATTGATGATGGCGATTCATGGCCAGTAATGGTGATGAATTAGTGGTGATTTAATGGTGATTTAATGGTGATTTAATGATGATTTAATGGTGATTAATGGTGGTTTAATGGTGATTATTGATGGTGATTCAATTGTGATTAATGGAATTACCTGTTGGTAATCAAACCTGGCTAGCTGTGCAATGCCCTGTACATGGAGATTGTAAATTCCAGTAGGAAAACCATCCACGAATGGGTCATGTTCCACTGCCATGTTGTTATTTGAGCCGTTAAGGATACCCCTGGAGATTGGTTTTTGCAGGGAGTTATACTATTTGGTTTAATGGAGATTGTGAAATGACCAAGACTAGGAATATCATGGAATATCATGGAATATCTACGTACCAAGCGTTGGCAACCAGTTTTCATGAGATGAGATGGAGGCATTTTTCATGGTTCATGTCGGAATGGGATAAATGGTTTAAATTATAGTTTAAATGGATCATCTTCCCATTCACATGATTACATGATTGCTGGACATTGTCGGTGAACACCCCAATCCTTATCGACATCAAACCATGGGTGTTTTTGAAACTCCTGGGGGACCTCCGCACCAAGCAGGTTTCCTGAAAATTCGACCAATGGCCTGGGTGAGATCTCGGGGTCCACTATTTCTCAGCCACTTCTTGTGAGGATCATGGTGGTTATCTTAAGATATTCATATTGTTGGATAGGTGCTCGGGCATCACTCGTTTGACAATATGTAGGTTTCCTGAAATATGGCTACCCCAAACTAGTAATTATTTTTCCATTGATTACAGGCAACTTTGGATACAATAGGAAACCTCCATATTGTATAGTAATACATGCCAAAATGACACACCGCGTTCGGCTGGCTTGTCCAGCCGATTTCCGAAGCGATTTCCGAAGCGTGTTCAGGCCGGGTTTCCATACGAAGTGGCGTTGAACTTTGCCCATCTCGGGCTCAAATGCACGGAGTATCAAGAGGAGCCCTTGGAGCTGCCAGTAAAGCATCCTGGGAGCCAAGCATTTGGGGGTCATCACCTAGCAACAAAGCTCGGGATGGGTCATTATTGGGTAAATATGCCATGAATCCCATTGTGTTTATAAATATATATATATATATTATATCAATATCCCAAGAGTATATGATGGGATACAATTGATACAATTTGTTGATTCAACTCATCATTACATTATATTACATTCCAATTTATGACTATTATATGACTCGTATGATATTTTGGGTTTGCATCCCAACATCCGAACCTTTGATGTTTATACCTCCATGATATTCCCAGTACGTTTCCACTATATCACCATTCTATCCCCATCACCAAAGCCGCCGTGAGGAACATCGGCCCTTCTTCTCAGAGGTGGTGGCGCGACTGCGGGAATTGCGTGACATCCAAGTAGAGGCCATGGGAGAGGTGGATCATGGTCATGGCTATGGCTATGGTATAATTGATATTAATTAATGTCTCATGTTTCGAAATTGTATCTATGAATTGGTTCAACGTGTTTTTTTGGCACCTCCAAAAATTGGATAAAATTGGATGGTTTCAAGTTTCACACTAATATCGACCAAGTGTTTAGGCGGGCCAGGGCCCGACAGAAACCGGAACAGGGCACTGGAACATCACCTATCTGGAGAAAAATTGTGTTTTTTTTTTTAAATTCCCAGCTATAGCCATGTGAAACGTCCTCAGGGTTACATTTTGGGTCTGGGTCAAACTTTATTTCATCTCCCACTCGGACGGTCAAATACAAGAACGTTACCAACATTTGTAGTGCCTGAGTGGGGATAGCCGCACATAGCCATTTGGGTTCTGTCCAGAATGAAAGTACCCAAAATCCATCAGTTGACGGTCTATTTTGGTATAGGAAGCAATCCTGGTTGGAACCATTTTGGGCACAAATGCACGTATTCGTATTCAAGACATATTCATCGTTGGGTTGTGGGCCCTACGTTTTGACCCACCCATATATTGAGCAGTTATATGATGTTATATGCACGGATTTGTTACTCACAGAGTATCAGATGGGATTTTGCTTGCTCACAACCCAATGGTGGTTGCTTAAACATATTATGAAAGCCTCTGTTTGTTGAAGCCTTGGTTTCCAATTTGAACATCCCAAGTTTTTCTGCCCACATCCCCAGATTTCTTGGTGACTCCCCCTTAGCCAGGCTTCCCCTGTCCTACCTCCACCGCCAGAACCTGATGTGCCGCCCCCTCCACCCCAACCGAGTCGCGGCCACCAGGGCTATACCAGCCGGGGTCACCAGGGCGGCCCACAGGGCCCACAGGGCTATCAACAAACAGCTGCAGTACAGGCGTTGCATGCCCAGATGCTGCAACAACAACAGCTTCAACAACTTCAACAGCAACAGATGATGCAAAGTGCCCAGATGGCCCAGATGCAACGAGCTCAAGTTGCCAACCAAGCTACAGCTTCAGCTCCCTTCAGGGTGCCACAAATGGGTTTGACCCAAGCCCAAGAGGACGAGTTGCGGCTGCAGTACCTCACGGGCCAACCAGTGCAACCCTTGCGGCAAGTCCCAGTGCCTATGCCGGAATTGGAGAGATACAACTCAGGCAGGGCCAATGGGTGGGTGAAAATGTTGGGCCACGAAAATTCAGGTAAAATGGTCAAGGGCGGGCTAACTTGATTGGCAATTTGAAATGGGAGACACCAATTTCTTGAGTGTTTTGTTGAGTTTCAAATACGCCGATGGGAAACTGGATGGATGATTTGCTAGAAGGCTTCGAGACACATGTTTTGCTGGTAAACTGGTTTGCGTTTCACCTAGTGTTTTTCTATGTGTTCCCATCTTCATCTTTTGAGACCAATACTGTAAAAAACTTTGACAGCATCAGCCACGCAATGGGTGTTTGCCTAATTGTCATTGACAACTCCACCCAATCATGATGCTAATATATTTCCCATGTATCATAGTAATATATCTTACATCTTCCCAGATAATCATGCAAATCTTTATGGTTGTTACTGTCGCACTTTGGAAGCTTATAAATGTGTGTAGTATACAACCCCCAAGAAGATAGACAAGATAGAAAAGCAATTGTCATCAATTGATATTCAAATGGTCTCTATTCGAGTAGAATTGTTTGACCTATCCATTTTGGTTGGGTTACATTTGGGATCCCAATGCAAGGTGGCCAGCTTGGCCAGCTCGCTCCGGCATATGGAGGCCATTGGCAGGTTGATTTAGGGGGTCCCAAATAAGATAGAAAGTTGCTATCAGCATAAGGTTCCATGGTTTGGCGACTCCTGTAGTGAAAACCACAGTGACATGACCTAGTCATCACAATGACTTGACAATTGTCATTATATACATGTGCGTCAAACAATTTGGATGCAACGGGTTTGACAAGTCAATGCGTCAATGTGTGTCACTATTTTTGGTTGGTGGTGAACCCAAAAAAATCATGGTGGATTACCATTTTCCCCCATTAAAACCGCTATTCTGGGAGTTATGCCTCATTTTCAGACACAGCCAAATACCACACAAAGTTGGTTAGGTTATATATAGTGTATATATATATATATATTATCATTTTATCATTATATATAGCACAGTGTATATATATATACTATGTGTATATATATATATCCCCGTTTTTTGATGAATGAATCACCCATCCGTTGATCTCCAACAACTGGCAGTCCTCATCAACCGAGACACCGAAAGGCTCGCTGTTGGCGCGTCGGGGTGTACCGCACGTACGCCATCCAAAGAAGTTGGCGTGGATATTGGAGCCGCCCGGATGACGGACATTTTGGGTGTTGGGATGATCTGGATTCATCGGAAGATGACATATTATGATTATCAATAACATGTGTAGGATATTATGTATATACTCTGGATGTGTTTTCACACCGGTGCAGTTTGGGCACAAAGTTCGTGGATGGACAGGCATCCTTTGGCCTTATCGGCCGCTACGGGGAGCTTGTCTAGCTCTGTTCTCTTTTTGCTGAAAGATTGGTTCTTTGCTGAAAAGGATTGGAATATCCCTAGCAATCTGAACATCCCTGCAAACTTGATACCGGATACCTCTGAGCTGACCTGTCCTGAAACTCCACGAGATATACCTCTGAATTTTTGGTCTGGCCTAATTGTGGGCTTGCTGCTCTGGCCTTTGCTGGAAGTTCTAGTGCTCATCAAGCAGTGGGCGACTTTATCTATCAAGGCGCGGATTGCAAGACTGACTGGAGTTGGTCGGGGCCCTAAACTGTACCGGGTCATTTCATGAGTGAGGTGGGCCGGCTTCAGAGAGAGATCCAAGTTTTGAGGGCTGATTTACTGGCTCTAGCTGCACGACTTGAGCGGCTTGAGGGTGATTTGGCTGATTTGCAGAGTGAGGCTCGGCCAGGGTCTTCCGTCCCTGGGATCCTTGGCAGTCCACCTAGGACTGCTCCAAAGGCCTATCCGGCCCCGAAGGCCGCCTTGGCCTCAGACTACAGCCAGGAGCAGCGTGAGAGGGCTGCCAGGCTGACTGGTCAGTTTTTCCACCGCTGTTTGAACGGCGAGGCCAGGGGTGAAAGCGGGCGCGGTCTGATCCGACTCCCCAACCGAGTCTACGTGGTCATCCGCACTTTTGAGGACGAGTTCTTTTTGAACCCAGTGCGTGTCTACAGTGTGTTTGCCCCAGTTCGCAATTTGGTCAGCGAGCCGGGCAACCCTCACAATTTTGGTTCTTCGATTTTTGCAGGATTTGCAAGTCAGTGGGAAGCCAGGATTGCCGTGAGAGAGGCAGACCTGGATTGGCCAACCGAGATCCTCGATCAATAGGATGGCTGTTGACACAGCCATCGCAGAGGAGCTCTTCTTTGAAGAGTTCATTGTGTCAGCGGACGGCACAAATCTGGGATATAAGGTCGGGTGCCTTGACAGTAGTGCTGGTCCAATTGACATAGCGATTTTGGGTGTTGGCAGATTGGGTCATCTTGTCTGTGTCCCCGGAGCGGTTTGGGACAAGAAGGCCTCCAAAAGGTTGCTGGACACAGGTAGTCTCAGCAAACCTATTTCTTTATCAATCCCTGCTTGCACAGCTGAAGACCGAGTGAACGCTGCCGACGGTTTGTCGGTTCATGTTTGGCTTGGCTGGCTGAAAGCAGACCTTTTGCCTAGCATTAGTTTTCCTGAGGATTTGCAGAATTTGTACAATTTTGAGGACAAAGACACCAGGGCTGCATGTTTCCCTTATGCGGACGGTCTTGCTGCTGCAGCTTACGAGAAATTTGGGCTGAAGGCTCCAGAAGACCTAGAAGAGGAGGATGCAGAGGCCATGGATGCAGGCTCAAGGCTGGCTGTGTTGGAAGAAAACTTTTCCCAGCTCAAGCTGGGCCTGGACGAGCTGCTGGCTCTACAGCGCGGAGGATCTGGCTATGTCACAGCGCAAGAAGCTCCATCAGGGGTAGAGGATCAAGCCAAGCCTGGCAAGAAGGCTGGAAAGGCGAAAGTTCAATCCTCAAAAACAGTTGGCAAGAAAGCCAGCCCTCCCGTGCTGAACTACCCAGGTTTGGATCCGAGCGCGGTGGCTGCAGCCTTACAGGCGGGTGTGCCCTCCGAACATCTGACTCAGATGAGCAAGGCCATCACAGGGAAGCCCCGGCTGGGCGAGCAGACAGCTTTGGACCCAAGCTCCAAGAAGCAAGACAACGACCTGCAGGACTCCGAGGCCGAGTCAGACCCCGACGGCGTAGATGCAGTCGCCGATCCCATGACGGCAGCTCTCCTTCAGCTGACGAAGATAGTCAGCAAGCTTTCTGCTTCGAAGAAGGCAGATCCTTTGGAGGATTCCATGGACTTCAGCGGCGCGTCTGGGTCAGCAGATGGAGGAGTAGGACTTTCTCGAAAGCATGCGGCAGTCATTCGAGCTTTGAAGAAGGCTTTCAAAGAGGATCCGAAGAAGCTATGGACCGTGATGGAAGCCAACATGCAAGAGGACTATGCTCTCTCAACGGTTCAACCAAACACTGCGGTGAGCGGCTTCTCAGTTCGGGGATGGGCCGAGCACAGATCGAAGATCCAGTCCTACCCACGGACAGTGCGCTCGGTCTGGGGCCTAGCAGGAATTATGGATGCCATCAGGGGAGGAGCGACCGACGAAGCTCTATGTCGCTGCTATCTTCTTATGGCTCAGTACGAACAGGAGAGCATCGACCGAGGGTCGTTCCTTCTGGCGCAGGAGTTTGCGCTGGAACCTCCTGCGCCGATATCCTCCTTTGCCAGCCATGTGATCCCAGAGCCGACAGAAATGGCCTACACAAGGATCCTCGACAGCAGATGGGTCGAAGCCTTTGCCCATCATCTGAAGGATGTGGATACCTACATGGAGATGAGAAAGAAACTGGGTCAGAAGAATCCAGTGCCAGCTGCAAGTGGAGGGAAGGGCATTCCGCAGCCCAAGTCTTACCCCAAGGCGGCAGCCAAGCAAAAAGGAAAAGGAGGAGGAAAGAAAGGGCAGGAATCCGACCCTGCCCCAGAATCGGCAGCATAGGGAACTCTGATGGATCGCAGCAATTGAACACTGACGGCCCAACTCCTTGGCCTTTGCCCGGCACTTCTACGTCTGCGCGGGGGGTTTGTAGCCCTACTGCGGTATTGGGTCGGGGCACGGGAGGGAAAGCTGTCAAAGTCCATGCTGCTGGTCCTTTGAGTGAGGCTTCTCACTCTGCTGCGGAGGATGATGATCCCTCCTCCTTTCACGATGGCCAGGATGTCCATGTCGGGCGGAATGTGCCTGGTTTTGATGCTTCGCCAATTGATATTGGCTCCATGTGGTGCACTTGGCCCCACAAGATTTTTTCCTCATCAACGCCATTTGGGCGTTTCTATCGAGCACAGTGTTCGAAGTCGCCGAGGAGCCAGCGTGATGTGGCTCCTAACGCTGACCTCTGGCAGTGTCCTCTTCCGTATCATGGTGCTGATCTGAGCAAAAAGAAGAATGGTGAGCGTACTGCTGGCTTTAGACACATCGTCAACTTGCAGATTTCCTTTTTGAGTTTTTTGCATGTTGGGCAGCACCAGTTGCCTCCCGACAGAGTGTGCGGCCCTGTCGCTCTGACTGATCAGCAGAAATCTATGGTTGGAAGAGTTGAGGAGCTAGTTTCAGCGTGGGCCGAGCAAAAAGCCTTTTCTGCCTCTGATATGGGGCGCACTGCCGCAAAACAAGAGCGGCAGGAAGAGATCCTCAAGAAGCTGGAAGCCTTCAGCTCTAGTGTCGTTCAGGGCCTTAGCAAATATCAAAAGATGTCTCAGAAAGTGGAGCTTTGTCGACCAAACGCCGAGCGTGGAAAAGTCATAGGGCATTTGCAGAAGAGCAACGTTTGCACAGCTCAGCGTATTGTGGCCGACAGAATTAAGATGGAGGGCAAACCTGTTTTTGATCCAACCCCTTTTTTGGATTCGGAATGTAAGAAGCTATTTGAGGAGCCTTTTTGTCAAGGCATCCATCCAGATTCTTTGGTTGACAAACCTCCCAGGGTTCGTGTTCATGCCTCTTTGGATGAGAAGATCAAGTTGCTACGTTTGCTTAACAAATCTGGTCGTTTGGTTTTTAGGAAACCCTCGGAAATTATTGCGCATCACGGGAATGGTCTTTTTTGTGTTCCAAAGAATTTAGATGTGGATCGTTTGATTTTGGATGGTCGACCGGCAAATCAGCTGCAGCACACACCGGACAAATATATACTGAGCATGGGTGCGGCTACAGCGTTGTTGGGCATTCACCTTTCAGATGACGAAAAGCTTTTGATGTCAGGTGACGATCTTTCCAATTTCTTTTACACATTCAAGATTGGATATGACAGAGCATCTCGAAATTTTTTGGATTGGAAAATTGATACCAAGCTTGTGAGAAACTTTGCTGGCTTTCCTGATGCGCTGAAGGGTGAGAGGTATGTTTATGCCTGCTTGAATACACTGGCTATGGGAGACTCTGCTGCTTGTGAATACGCACAAACCTCACACATTTGCATGGGCTTGATCTCTGGTGCGGTTGACCCCAACAATTTACTCACATTGCATGGTCGCACTCCCAGGCATAACACTCTCTCTGGTATCATCATAGATGACTTCATCCTTATGCAGAAGGTTGGCGTAGAGGAAATACGTGGTATTGACATGGAGCATCGTAGAGCTGCTATGCATGACATGTACAAGCAGGTAGGGCTGGAAGCACACCCCACCAAGGGGTTTTCCAACTCGGAGAATGCGAGCTTCTGGGGTGCTGATGTTGACGGGCTTCGTGGACTCGTTCGAGGTAATGTGGTGCGTGCTGGTTCTCTCTGCTGGATCACAAGTAAAATTGCTTGCCTGGGCGTTGCTACAGTAGGTCTATTAGAGATGGTCTCTGGTGGATTTGTGGCTTTATTTGGGTTTAGGCGAAGAATGATGTCCCTGCTGGATCTTGTCTATGCTGCTCAGGCGGGTCGGGATCAAGGTGATGTGGTCCAACTTTCTTCAGCGCTGCGGGATGAGCTGTGGTCTCTATGTATTCTTTGTCCTTTGGCGGTCACAAACCTCAGGGCGTCTTTTTCCAACGAGGTCTACATGGTGGATGCGTCAAATTGGGGCGATGCTGTTTGCGCTGCTGAACTCCCTACAGGTCTCCGATCCGAAATGCACAGGCATGGTTTATCAAGGTCTGCGTGGACTAAGCTTCTGAGCCCTTATAAAGCTAACCTTAAAGGTAAAGGTGTTCTAGATCCAGAGGAAGAGTTGCCTTCAGGTGAAGTCCCCTATTCGTCTCATCCTGTCTGGGAGGTTGCTGCTCGGGGTCTTGTCTACAAACTTCGTTGGAAGCGGCGGGCAAGGAAAGCTAGGCATATCAATATTGGCGAGCTGCGCTCCTACCTCAAGGCGGAGGAGATTGTGGGGATCCATTCTTCGGATGTACGGGTCTGCATTGGAGGCGATTCTCAGGTTACAGCGGGTGCTATTTGCAAGGGCAGGTCTGCTTCGCACGCTTTGAACAGGGAATTACGAAAGAGCTTACCCAATGTCCTTGGTAGAGGTGTGTATTCCAGCCCTGGTTACGTATATACAAAACATAATCCTGCAGACGATCCTACACGAGGGGCATCTTTGCGTCATCCAGATGTTGAACTGCCTGAATGGTGGCTTTGTGCTGCTCAAGGGTCGTATGAGATGTTAGATGACATGCTGAAACATGATGGTTTGGATGACAACTATATCTCTGGTCATGCCCCCCTTCAAGACCTTTTTCCCAGTGCTGAGAATAGACACTTCGACAAACACTCCATCCGCAAGAAGAACAATCTCCACAAACGGGTTCAAGAGAAGCTCAGTAAAAGACATAATTTGAAATTCATCGAAAGTGAACCTCCTACAGTTAGCTCCAGTGATGAGACTCATTTTTGGCCCTCAGACATTTTTGATGATCTCACTTCTTTTGGTGAGGAGGCATTTATTTTTGGTAGTGGATTCCAATGGCCGCCGACTTGTCCTGGTCTGCTTGATCTTTATTCAGGGCGAAAGGGCTTTGCCAAGGCTTGCAGCAGGCTTGGTGCTCCTTGGGTGCTGACCATTGACATCGAGGACGGCCCACAGTTTGATTTGCTGTCTCTAGCGACAAGACGAAAGCTTGAAAGGTTGATCAGAGGCGGCTGTTTCTTGCACGTTTCTTGTGCCCCTATTTGCGCGTCGTTTTCTAGGGCCATTACGCCAGCTGTGAGAAGCAAAGCAGAGCCTTTAGGGATCAGACCTATCAGGCAGAGCATGTTTGAAAAGATTTCTCAAGGCAATTCTCATGCCAAGTGGATCGGGTCAATCATCCGTTTGTGTATCAGCCTCTGCATAGGCTATTGGGTTGAGAATCCTGATGGCAGTTTTATTTGGGACCACCCATCTTTGAAGTTTTTGCCGAAGAAAGCGGCTAGTCGTTTCTTCAGACTGGATTTCTGCGCTTTTGGAGCTCCGTGGCGAAAGAGAACTAGGTTCCTCACCTCTGGAAGATTAGCTGGAGTAAAGCGGCTTTGCAGCCGAGACCACAAGCACATTATTCTACGTGGGAAGCCAAAGAATCGTAAGGCTTGCTGGACCAAGATTGCTGAACCGTATCCCAAGAGGTTGTGCTCCTTTTTGGCTTGGGCTGTTCTCTCCGATTTGGGTATTTACAAGAATAGTGCTGGCTTATCCCTAACTTGCCGGCATGATCACCGGCGGATAGGCGAGGCCAAAAACCCTGGACCTCGACCGAGTCGTGGTCGTCCCAGAAATGCCAGTGCCCTGGATGATGTGGAGCTCATTCGGCCGCAAACGCAGGCCATCGGCAGCAGGCAATGGGCTTTGTTCTGGGCTTGGACAGTCAGCTTGATAGGCGAAGCAGTTGCTAGAAGTTTGTGGGCCTCGCCCGTCCTCATGGGCAACATGCTTAGTTCATACGGCAGACATATGTATGAATGTGGGAAAGCTTTGTTCAATTTTAGGCATCTGGTGGTTTTTGCACAGCGCGAATTTCCTGGTCTTCGGGGCCATCTCAGCCTCGCTTGGGATGCGATAGCACGTTGGGAACAGCTTGAGCCGGTGGAGCACAGGCGACCTGTACCCTTGAAGATGATGGAAGCCATGGTGTCTCTTGCCATTGCTTGGAGCTGGACTAGGATCGGCTGCGTCTTGCTCATAGCTTATTATGGATGTTGCCGACCTGGAGAAGTGATCAAAGCTTGCAGAGGTCAGCTTGTTTTTCCTCAAGACCTTGGCAAAGCCTGTGGACCAATCTTTTTCAGAATTCAAAAGCCCAAACCTGGAAGACGTGGTATGGGAAGAGTGCAGCACACAAAGATTAAACCTACTGGCGTGTGCAGTTTCCTGTGGTCTATTTTGGGTGCCTTGAGTTCTGAGGCTTTCATTTACCCTGGCTCCTTTGGCATGTTTAGAACTCGGTGGAATAAGCTGCTTTCAGGTTTACGAGTGCCTACTGGTGCAAACATTACCCCTGGAGGCCTACGAGCCGGTGGAACTGTAGAACTCTACAGACAAGGTGTTCCCATAGCTGACATTCTTTGGATTCTAAGACTTCGCAATATTGAGACACTACAGCATTATCTGCAAGAGATCGCAACACAGATAACGATGATTGACCTGCCTGACAGCTGCAAACTTTTGATCCACTCCTTTAGCCTCATGTTTCCTTACTACCTTTCCATCCTCGAGCATTGAGCGGGTTAGGTGCTGTGAGCGCGCGAACGATACCGTTGCTGCCTACTCGCAAAGGTGGAATGCTCACTTTGGTTGTATGACTTTTCTGGAAGCTTGCTTGGGTCAGCTTTTCCTGTGTGGAGCAGCTGGCAATCTTCCCCTTGTCTCAACGTTGAGCCTTTGCAGTTTGAGATCGCTAGATGGCGGCCACTATGCTCGTGAAAAGGGCAGAGAGTTGTTAGGTGCTGCTGGAGGTTTGACAACACATACTCTGGATGTGTTTTCACACCGGTGCAGTTTGGGCACCCGCCCTCATGCCACCCATGGAATGCTCACTTTGGTTGTATGACTTTTCTGGAAGCTTGCTTGGGTCAGCTTTTCCTGTGTGGAGCAGCTGGCAATCTTCCCCTTGTCTCAACGTTGAGCCTTTGCAGTTTGAGATCGCTAGATGGCGGCCACTATGCTCGTGAAAAGGGCAGAGAGTTGTTAGGTGCTGCTGGAGGTTTGACAACACATATATATATAGTAGATATAATGTGTATATATATATAATTATATATATATATCCCATTGTATATCATTGTATCAAAGTAGTTACATCAGAGCTCTGACGCCTCTGCAGATTCAACCCGCAGCCTCCCAGCACCAAGCAGATGATGAACCTGTTGGGACCAACGATTTTTTTCGTGGTGGATGAAAGACACAAAATGGCCATGTGAAAAAAAACTGCTGTTACATGGCCAAAGAATAAGATTAAACACCAGTTAAAGATAGTTAAAGATGATTAAGTGGTGAGGTTACTCACCCAGAATTTGTGATTAATTATGAGTGATAAATTAGTGAGGATGAATCAAATTCTTAATTAAGATTAAACACTTAGAATGTATGGTGATCAATAGGGAACCATATCCCGCGAGTGCTTCATCATTCCTTCCCCTAGCAGCCCCTATCTAAAAAACATTGAGAGACCCAGTTCTTCATTATCCACTAGGGCATCTGCTGAGGTGCGTCATGGCACAGGGGGAGAAGTTAGTGATGTTGTCCAAGGATGCCTGGGGCAGGGGGTTTGAAGATCTTTTGAATTTCTTGGACTTTGTCATCTTTTCCTAACCTGTTTTATTTAGCTTTCAGAAAGAAAAAATGTTCAGAGGCTGTTGTTTCCCTGCAGCAATCGCTGGCTGAAGAACGTGAGGATCAAAAGACTCTAATACAGCGGCGGGAAGACAACAAGTCAGTGCCAATGCCTCAAAGATGACAGCAGTCGGGACATATCTTGTTTTTGGTTTCCTGACATTTCCGAACCAGTTCGCTTTTCTGAATCCAATGACCTGCTGTGATACGTGACTGATCGCATTTAGATCCCACATGCAGAGATTTCATGACCCAACCGAGGCCCACCCAGCGCTTTGGGCGTATTTTTCAGAGGGAATTTCTGAAATCTTTGCTGCCCGCAGACATCTCAGTTGCAGCTTCAGGCATTCACATCACTCAGTGGGTACGAAAGGGCTGGTGAGGTAGCCCTGTTGAACATGGATTTCTGTGAAGGGTTTGCTTTTCACGTTCAGGTTATGTGAATGTCAAGTTCACATCGACTATAACGGGAGTGCCAAGGTGTTGGGTAGAACTTCAGCAGATGTTGTGGCGCTGAGGACTTCCTCTTCGATCAAGTCTCACGGGAGCATTTCCAGATTTGGGCATGGAGACCCAGCGACGACGTCGTGCCATCCGATTTTTTTTCGGGCGCTCCAAGGCCCAAGGCGTTGACGATGCAAACTCTGGGAGTTTGCATCAAGTCTTTGAATGATGATGGTGACAGTGGTGATGATGATGATGATGATGAGGAGGAGGAGGAGTTATGATGAGGATCATCATGACATATCATGACGTCATGATCTGACCCAATCATACCAACACTGCCAGTCTTGAGGCTTTGGAATGGCCAGCATTGTCCGATGATGGTCAGACACCTCACTCCTGTGCCCAGCATGTTTGTGGCGGGTTACAAGCTTTAGCGATTTGCAGCCTGTTTTGAAAACACAGTTGGGATGGATATCAACTATTTGTGCCCAAAATCAAATCGAACCTTTGGAGCATGGACCAATTTGATGCACAAAGAATCACACAAACACTGAAAACACACCCAACTCAGCCAGTTCGCCTGACCAACTATGCCACCGTGGGAACATCCGTGGATGATTTGGTGCTCGATGAACGTGGACAGAGCGCAAAGCTGCACCATGGCAGGAAGCTCAGCAGGGGGAAGAACTGGAATGACTTGGGAATCCAACCATACCCCAACCTGTCTATTTAAAGCACCACAAAACGATGAAACACAACACCAAAGAATGTTTCAACTTGTTTGAGTTACCATTGAGGGAAACTGCAACATGTGGATAATGTGATATACATCCATTCCATACCCACTAAGTCGAATTGATAGGGGCTCCAATGGATTTTCCAATGGATTTACTGAGGTAGCAAGATTGGCTTGCTGCGCCGTGTGATCGTTGATGGGAAGGAGGAAGCAACGCCTTTCTTGGAGTTTTACTTCAGCCTGGAGCAGTGTGGTAGCTCAATGAGGAAGGAATGGGGTGCAATGGGTAGATTGATTTAACATGATTTAAGTAGTTGTAAGTCCTGAAATGGCTGGAATCACTGTTTTTTGATAATGTCATACATTTTGTGAATATTGAGTGTTTGTTATTGTTGAAGGAATGACCAAGGCTGATTTGTTTCCCATTTTGACCAACATCGTTTCCCAGGTCGGGCTTGACAGATGCCGACGCAGCTGCCTCAGCTATCCTCCGCAGTCAGCAGCTGTCAGCAGCTGTCGTTGACAGGTGGTCTATGAGTCCTTTCTGACCTTCTGCGAACCCATCCTGAAGAGGAGCGCAAACTGCTGGAGACCAGTTATGACCAGTTCAGTGGAAGGTTCACTGTGCTTTCCATTGGAACTTGAAATGAAACTTGCCAGCATTTTTTGAAGATCTGTTGAATTTGGGCAACATCTTCATACCAGCTGCCTGTCCCAAAGGACACCGGATGAGATGGCACCATTTGAAGGCGCGTTGCCGGCGGCGCGTGGCTCAGCCAACGAGTGGCTCGCTGGTTGAAATTGCAGGTGAACCAACTTCGCCACATGACAGGCTGGGGAAAACCGGAGAACACCTGAGCTAAAAAGTGTACAGAGAACTCCAGCAATTCTCAAAGAATGACACTTGTGGATCCACAAGTTTCATCAGGTTTTTACATCGTTGATTTCTGTGTTACTTCAGGTTTGATTTTCGAAAATTGGCACATCACATACACATGTGAAAATGTGCAGGCTACCTCATCCTTGACACCCCACATTTTTTTCATGATTAGTCAACATCAGCTTCGAAAATCGGTGGCAAAATCGATGTGGAACCTGGATTTCCCATGGATTTCCCATGGATTTCCCCATGGATGGAAGTGAGACCCGTCGCGAGGGTCGACAGCGACATGGCGCTAGAGGGCTTTGGAGTTGATGTGCCAGGCGGCTGGACATTTTTACATCAACATGTATGTAGAAGTTATATTAATTTATCATAATTATTTTAATGTATATATATATATAATCCCCAACCCCTTAATGCTTGTTTTGGAGGGGGGACCTACGAAAAGAAATATTTCAGTAATTTATGTATATATATATATTAATATATTATATTTTTTTAATATATTTTTTATATATATTTATATTATTATATTATATTATAATATATTATATTTTAACATATATTAAGAAAATATAATAATATTTTCTGGGATAATCATCCAATTTGATGGGGCTTAATGGGGCTTGTTTGATGTTGTGCGCCTGTCCGGCGCCCGCTGCAGGTTCCAGGGGATAGTGAACCTTGAAACATTTGGACATGCATTGACCCGGACACCACAAAACATCATAAAACTCCTACTTGGACATCATTGGACATCAAGAGGACCAACTTGGAATATGTTTTATTTTAATCTATTTTGCAATATTCTACATATGGCAAGTTGAGCCCTAAGATAGATCAATATATATATATACATATCAATATCGCTGAATCAAAAGGAACCAATGACATGCAACCTGTGACATGCAAAAGCCTGGAGAGCAGCCATGGGCTGGCTGGTGACGAAGAAGTGTAGCTGGAGCAGCACTCGCGTGGACTGCGGTTTGTGCTGCATTCAGCGCAAAGAGAGCAAGATCAGAGATTCTTTTCATGTCTTCATGTCTTCATGTCATTCTAATTCATTCTATGCTTGGAAGATTTTCCCAGAAATGTCCAAAATGCGCAGTCTCAGATGATCATGATGCATGGTTGCTGTCAGTCAGAACACCGCCTCACAACCAGAATCCCAACATATCAAAGCCCCTGCCACTGAGACTACTGGCATCATCCCGCGCATAAGAAGACCTTAGATTCGTGGGCCAAAGCGAACAATGTGGCGAAGAACTTGGGCCTGCCATCGCCACCTTCTCGCGCTGATGTTGCATCTTGGATCACATGGTTTTCCACTTGAGCAGACGTGAGCAGGTAGGTCCAAACGTAAGCATTTTTTAGTTCCTTGAAAATATGACAGGATGGGATCATAGGGCTACGTTAGAAGTACATGTAAAATCATGTGTAATCATGTACGGTAGAGGTACGGTAGAGGTACGGTAGAGTTTTCTTTCTCTACCGTACCTCTACCGTACCTCTACCGTACCTCTACCGTACCTCTACCAGCACCTGCATCGTAGCTCTACAGTATACCCCTGCAATATGAAGCATTGTCAAGCATTATGAAGCAATGCCATGGGCCAAAGGGCTTGAAGTGTGGCGTGTGCAGTTCAGAAGTTGTGGCAGATATGGCAGGTACCCAAATCTATCCACAAATCATTATAAGATATTATAAATCTACCCATATCCAAGCACTTGCTGGAGTCATATCGAATGACTGCTTCCGAAAAGAGTCTCCTGGCTTCACGGCTTCACCCCCAACTGCGGCGCAGGATGGAAGTGGAGTTTTGGAACCTCCAGAGTCCTTTGCTGCGGGACTCTTCATGCTGCAGTGACAAGATGTGATTAGATTGCGAATCGTTTTTGTTGCCGAACTTCTGAGTGTCTTCTGAGTGACAAGATGCTACTACTACTACCACCACCACCACCACCACTACTACTACTACTATGTGCTACTGCTACTACTGCTACTAGTACTGCTAGTACTAGTACTACTGCAACTACTAGTACTGCTACTTCGACTATTACTACTACTACTACTACTACTACTACTACTACTAGTACTACTAGTACTACTAGTACTACTAGTACTACTACTACTACTACTACTTCTACTACCACTACCACTACCACTACCACTACCACTACCACTACTACTACTACTACTACTACTGAGTAGGAGTAGGAGTAGGAGTAGTAGTAGTAGTAGTAGTAGTACTAATGCAAGTACTAACTACTACTGCTACTACTACTGCTACTACTACAGCTCGTACTGCTTCTTTGCTTTCTGCTACGAGTAGTACGTGTTTAAATTCGGTCACAGGAAGAAGTATGTTTATTACTGTACCGTTTTGTTTTTGCATGCACCTGCGTGCAATCCCACCAACCTGCAGCTTTGCGCATTTGACAGGTGACTAGTGGTGCAATGGCGGACCCCGCTATGATCTCATCGGACGTTGCCTGGTTGCAGAATGTGGATGGTGACATCGCCCATGGAAGACACATGTGAACGCAGTGAAACACCAGGCAAGATGACCAGGTTTTCGAATTGCATTCTTATGTGTAGTATTTGCATTTCTTCCCAGCCCTCAACATAATTCAACATATGTGTACTTGCATTTTATGAGTACTGAGGCTCCAATGCTGGAAGACATGGCCCTCATGGCACCAGTGGACTCGCAGGCAAGGCTCCGTTCGCCATTGCACTATATGTGCTCAACGAAAGGTAGAGTTGGGTGAAGGGAGGTGAGACGCAGCAGCCATTTTTTCAGCGGGGTGGCAAGGGTGCTTCCGTATATGTAAGCCTTTAGTAAACTGACAACACAGTCCACGGCCGTACATGGCCGTACGACAGCTGAAGTGCCATACAGAGAAAGGTTTGGAACGTTCCCAGCAAGAAATAGGCAACACCATATAGCACTACCGGAATGGAAGCCCCAAAACTGAAACCCAGACAGTCACCATGGCACAAGAACCACAAGGAGCACAAAACACGTCAAAACTAGCATCATGGCCCCACCATGATTTGAGCCCTGGTTGTTTTACCATGTTTTACCCCCTCCCCCCCCACAATGTGACTTTGGGAAAGGATGGGAAGGGGATGGAGTTACCCGCGGTTATGGGTGCCGTCCGTAAGAACGGGTAATTGTTTGGTAGGGCGGGTGGAGCCAATTTTAAAGGGAAATCTATACATACGGCTGCCCTATCCGCGGCAGTGAACGCTTACCCGCGCTTATGCGTGCCGTCCATAAGAGCGGGTAATCCTGGTGTATGTTAGTGTACTTTAGTTGGTATACAGTTGGATGGACAGATCTGGCACCCCAGGATTACCCGCTCTTATGGACGGCACGCATAAGCGCGGGTAAGCGTTCACTGCCGCGGATAGGGCAGCCGTATGTATAGATTTCCCTTTAAAATTGGCTCCACCCGCTCTACCAAACAATTACCCGTTCTTACGGACGGCACCCATAACCGCGGGTAACTCCATCCCCTTCCCATCCTTTCCCAAAGTCACATTGTGGGGGGAGGGGGGTAAAACATGGTAAAACAGCCAGGGTTCAAATCATGGTGGGGCCATGATGCTAGTTTTGTGATGTTTTGTGCTCCTTGTGGTTCTTGTGCCATGGTGACTGTCTGGGTTTCAGTTTTGGGGCTTCCATTCCAGTAGTGCTATATGGTGTTGCCTATTTCTGGCTGGGAGCGTTCCAAACCTTTCTCTGTATGGCACTTCAGCTGTCGTACGGCCATGTACGGCCGTGGACTGTGTTGTCAGTTTACTAAAGGCTTACATAATACGGACGCAGCCTTGCCAACCCGCTGAAAAAAATCTCACCTCCCTTCACCCAACTCTACCTTTCGTTCATCCCTGGTTACCTGGTTGCCCTCAAGTTTCCTGGGGTCTTTCGTCACGCTAGGGTGCAACATCACACGTGAGGATTCCAACAGTGTGGGTACATGTGATCACACAATATATCACAATATCACATTGTTTGACCAGCCTTGGAAACGTTAAACGCCGCCAGCAGCCTGCCAGGTGGATGCGTCTGAGTACCGGGCCTTTGCAGAGCATGTGCACGTGATGGATGTGAATGGTCCTCCAGCTGAGGGCTACTACAAGTGGCTGAAGGAATTTGTTCTTGATCAGGCCAATTCCTCTGAAGCTGAAGTCATTCGCCTGGACCAAGTGACTTGTGACCTTTCTCCTGGTGACGGACGGTGGCGTTGGGTCACACGAGAAACGATCCTGCACAAGTTCGAGCTATGGTCGGCTGGTGGGGCAAACTGGGGACCAACAATCCAGCTCTGTGGATCAGCCCCTTATAGCATTTGCATTGGGCACCAGAGGATTGGGAGCCTCCACTGCTACATGCAATGGTGTTTCTTGGCGAAACATGGCGAAACCATATCCACCCAACGTGATGTGATTTTGGAATATTCACGGTCGCTTCGCGACGAAAACCGCCCGCACCAAGTGTAATGGATAACATTCACATATGTTGGAGGATGTTTGGCCATGTTGAACGTTTTTTTAGCACTTATTATTGGGCACTTTTTAGCTCCGTATGAGGTTATCTTGGCCCCATATGAGGATATGTTGGCACCATTTGAGGCTATGTTGGCCCCATGTGAGCCTATCTTAAGCTCATGTTGGGCCTATGTTGGGCCTATCTTGACCCATTTTTGGCCTATATTGGCCCAGATCAAGAATTTTGACCCCTTTTGAAAAACATGCAAAAACACAGGGTTCTAGAGCAAAAATGCCCCCCCCCCAAGCTAAAGCTTATTAGCTATAATGCAAGTGCTAACGGTTCACGCAGGCACACAAAAAACGCATCGGCACCTTCGGTGCGGGCGGATTTTGGATGATTTTGACATGTACCACTGAGCACGGCTTCTGTTCAGCCAGACATGAAATGATGCTGTTTCTATTCTAGTTTATGAGAAACCTTCCATGTCCAATGCATCCATGGGCGTGTCAGGCTACTTGACTCAGCGCACCCCTGCAGATTGGGCGAAAACCATGGCCAAGGCAATCCCTTGCAAGCTGGAGTCTTTGCAGCCAAAGCAGGCAGCAATGAGAGGCCTCAAGGAGGGTGTGCAGACTCAGGCATCATCAACAGGCTGGAATCCCTACTCTTTGGTGGCCATGCAGCGAAGTCATTCAATGTCCGTGGAGGAGTTCAAAAAGGAAGTCAAGGCATTGATGCCACAGCATGCAAGCAACACAGCCCCTTGGCCATACCACATGATACGACATCACACCACATCCCGTGTCATCCGGTATGACAAAATCGTGACTTCATGATCTGCAGAAATTGGTTAACCCAGGCTGAAGTAAGATGATGTAAGCTCCAAACATAAGATTTTGCGCCAACGAATTCATGTGATCATGTGTGCATTAGCAATGGAATCGACGCTGGAAAGACATCCCAAAGTCATTCAAAAAAGCTTGCAGCTTTTGATTTCTTATTGGCAATGGATTGCCTTTGCTCATTGCATCTCATTGCTGAGACGTTGAAGCCTGTTGAAATACAATGAAACGCATCGCCAAGGAGCTTTTTCCCTGGGACGTTCTGTGCCACTTTGCACGCAATCGAGTGTCCGATGATGTACTCCGTATCCCTGCTCCTGGCACCCAGCTTGCCCAACAGGCAGCTTCCTGGACCAGATGCTTCACAGCAACGTGTGAAGACGTTTGCGGCAGATGTTGACAGCGCTGCCTTGCCCTTTTTGCGACTGACTGCATAGGAGCTGGGCCATGTTTTTCTATGTTTTTCTCAGTCAATCTCACTCATCGAATAGCACCAGGGCAGCCAATGATGTGCCATGATACATCATATTACATCATGATATTTCCGAACAGCTCAGATGCACGATGACGCATGGCAGCTCATCAGTTTTTTAAATTTCCAAGATGGGCGTGGCAACAAGCTGCCCATGTGGGGACATTGTGGGGTCTCTTGGGGGGACTTTCCGAAGATGGAAAAAAGCTGAGCCAGATGAGACATGATCATGTCCGACTTGAGTGCAGGTCTTGAGTGCAGGTTTCTATTACAGTTCATTGACATGTGAGCCATGTATTTCACATCCTTTTTACAATGGATTTCACTATAAGTTCTGGTTGCCGGGGGGATGGTTTAGAGGGGGGGGACCTACAAAAGAAATATTTCATTTTGTAGGTCCCCCTAGCTTAAAGGTTGGGGATTATATACAGTTATATATATATATATTACAATTATATAATATTATACTTTTGTATATACTGTAATATTATGATATGTATGACAGGTACAATATTCAAATTGAACATGTTTATGATTTATATTAATATGTGTTAATACAGGTAATTATGTGTATCCGTGTTCAGATTGATGGTAGATGTTGGAAACAGCGTCTGTTACTTTTGTTATTTGCCTTGGACTGTCTCTAACTTCTGCGGCTGTTCTATCAATTTGCTGGCTCTGGCAGCCGTCATACTGCAGCAGCTTTAGCATACTTTAGCAAGTTGAAGTACAAACAGCACTTCTGACCCACTTGTTCCATACAGATTGATGATGCACCCCACTTCCGAAGCACCTGCGGTGTTGGGACCCACCTTCCACTGATCGCATCATTTCAATGATTCCAACTTACAAGACCAGTTGAAGTGGCAGCTAGCTATAGTTTTATATGTTTGATGCTCAGAAGCTGTTTGATGCTGTTTCTTTGGTACAATGGATGGCCTATTGTTACTCCGGCTGGATGGCCAGTGCCATTTCTGCCCCGTGGAAAAACGACGACAGGTGGGATCTCCTTCGTTGGCGACGACGTGGAGCCTGTGTTCATCCTTGAGGCGCTTCCTGGATTCACAGGGCCAAATTGGCCTCTCATGCCACAGATGTTCACTTTTGAAGTTTAGATGTCTTATTCATTCTTATTCAATATCCCCATGTTCTATCATTTTTTTGGGTTTATTTGATTTTCACTGATCCTAAAAATGTCTCCACACCAAAGGTTTCCGTGGCGCTACAGCCCCAGGTGGGTGGTACAGCAGTACGTGCGGGCGGCAAACGCGAGAAACTCCAAGTGGTGCACGGCCCGCGGAAATCTGCCTGCGCGGCGGCTCCTGGATGTGAGGCCTGTGATTTATGGGTGAAATCCTTATGAAACCCTTGGAATCCCCATGGCGAAATACCAAAAAAAAACCTGATCTTTGTTGCTGAAAAAGAAACATTCTCATTTTCATTTTTCTTGGAGCCGTTTATGGCATATAAATATATTTTATAATAATTATAATTATATATATATATATTGGGGTTGTGGGCTTGCTACATTAACTTTTTATGGGTCAAGAAAATCACAAGGGATCATCCTTGGGTTTGCCATGAGCCTATGAAATTCATGGGAGGTGCTCATTTCCATATTTGCAAATGATCTCATATGTTTGGGTATACCAGAATTTGACCAAAAAATTGACCTGTACACTCAGTGACCAGCCACTCATGGGGATGGCGCGAGGTGCCTTGTCCCCCCTTGGTCCTCGGTAGTGCACAAGCAGGCCTGGGATGAAACGATAAAACGTCGCCATTGGGGGTGCACGGTTGATATTCCATCATGGCTTTGAGGTTGGGCCTCGGCTTTTGCCAAGACGTGGATGAATGGAATGCAGGGTAAATCAGCACTAAGAACCCTTCTTAACATGTCTATAATGATCATAATGTCCTAACATGTCCTAACTCTCTGAACCAACATGTGGCTTCAAAGAATTTGGGGCACAGTTCTATTGAAGTTCAACATGTCTTAACCAGTGGCTTCAACCCTGCAGGTTTCTGGTGTCGGATCTTGGCCGACAAATCGCCTTTCTGGCGGGTCATTCGCGGAATGAATGAATAGAAGGAGGAATCGGTACCTAAGCAACAGAACCATATCCCATAGGATCCATGTATGGTATATATGCTAACATTTGAGGTATATTGATGGTAAATGTTACCATATATAGCATACATGGATCCTATGGGTATAGAACCCAGATATATAGCTGTGGTTTTTTGGGGTTTCGAAACTGCCAAGATGATGTCGCAGTCTGTTTGGTATGTTCCTTCAAATTTGATCGACGTTTTGGATCACGTCCAACGCATCGCCAGGAATCTGACGTTTCTGGAACCTGAGCATTTGATGATCGAGGCCTTGCCTTGCTGGATTGGGTGAATCATGCCGAATCCCATTTGGGTTCAGACTCAGCTTGCAATGTATTTTCCAACTGATGCACACATAGCATCCACCAACCAACCAACTCAATCATCTCAACCAACCAACCAACCAGCAAGCGGAGGTGGATGATGCCGCAGAAGCAGCAGAGCGACGTTTCTTTGTGAGGCCAACGCTTTCTAAGTGGTGGGGTGACACGGAGAACACGCCCAAAAATCCATCATCGATTTTTCTTCACTTTACTTCTAGATGTGATTATATGTGGATGTTTGATATGCTGCCATCAAGATTTGCTTAAGAGCCATGAAAACTGAGACAATATATACTCATCAAAGCTATTTTGGTGCAGCCGGTCCTGCACTGTTGTTTTCAGTTGCATGTTTCTTTCCTGGCATGTTTCAGGAATCACAAGTCTTAGAAGCTTATGAGTTCAGGGAAGCAAACAAAAAACAGTACTCATCAAAGCTAAGACACTTGGCCGCACCAAATACCTTCACAGTTTTGCTTTGCAATTCCTGGGGTGATGATCCCCACATTCAGATAGTAAAGAATCATAAAACATCACACAACATCATATAAAGAATCATATAGCATAATAGATACCATGTTGTAAAATATAGCAAGTTTATTGCCATTCAACCACAAGAAGGGTTGAGGGTTTCGCTGGGCCATCCCAAAATCCAGTCCTTTGGGTCGCCAGGAATTTGAGCACGTTGCCCCTTCGAGTGCAGGGTCCCCCTGAGGAGCTGAGTAGGTGGAGCCTGTGGTCAGTGCCAGCAGGGCTTCACACTTTGATTTAGCAGTGATGATTTCCCCCCAAAAAAATTGAAGTACAGTGATTTTCACAATTACCATGGAGGTTTCCATATTTTCAATGGAGGTTTCCATATTTTCCATGGAGGTTTCTATATTTACCATGGAGGTTTCCATATTTTCCGTGGAGGTTTCTATGTTTTTTCATGGAGGTTTCTATGTATTTTCATGGTATGGGTGTATCCATGGAGGTTTCTCCAAGGTATTTTTCAATGGTTTCCCGACTCTGCAAGGAGGAAAGCATTCGACAGGAGGAGGTGTGGATCCAAAGGGCTTTCACCGAAGCTTTGGAGGTTTAGTGATGAATGGTTGTTGGTGCTTATAGATATATAAACATGAGTATGCCAGATTATATATATATATAATTATTATACAGATTGCAGATCCGATAATCGTGGCTATGATATGAAGAACTATGGATATGGTATCCATCTACATATGCGTGGACAGTATGAATTGTCTTCAACAGTTGCACTGTTCAGTGGCAGGATGGCAAGTGGCAGATTCATCATGGCGACACGATCCTCTTGAACTTGTCAAAGGCGTCGATGATCTTCAAATCCGAATGAAGCTGAGATGTGGGTCAATGTGTCAATGCGGGTATGGTTTAGAAAGTTTAGAACCAAAGGTATCACAACATATCTCAACAGCTGGCGAAGATCTCAAGATCTTAACATGGTCCATTCTGATCATGGAATTTTCACCACTTCTCGGAGTGGCACTAACTTGCAGGTCCACATGTCACCAAGGAAGAAGACTTGTGAAGGCAAAAAAAAGACAGAGACTGAGAAAGATGGTATTTGGTGTTTTCTTCCATTTCTTCCCAATTTCTGTTAGATTAAAGCAATAATTATTTACATATTGGATCAAACCTAAACCCCAATGTTCTTGTTGGGTTTTGGCAAGCATCCATCACTGCATCGACTGTCAGGGGACCTCAATGTGGATGAACTTCCGAGCGTACAAGTGACCCCCAAGTGACATGACCACAGCGACCGTGTGTGGTGTGGCGGTCCGAAAATTCACCGTCGAATGCAATGTCCAAAGAATGAAAAAAGGGATCCGGTGATGCGGAAACAATGTTTGTATGCAGATGGACAGATATGAGATGGAGTTGTATTTGTGATCAGGTGCTGAATGATGAGAAATGTTAGTACGCATGAGAATCGGACAATTTGCACTGCTTTTGATTGTTTTCTGTGGGTCATTGTTGTGTTTTCTGTCAATCTCGGGCGTTCCAGTCTAGTTGCCAGAATTTGCGGTGAATTCGAAGCTCATTGGCTGGATTGAGCCTTACCTGAACACTTTTCCAGGAATGCTTGACGGTAGAACTTGTGCAGATTCGCGGTGGGTAGTGCAGTACTACAGCAACCCTCTGGCAGGATTTGGATGTTTTGGAACACTGTCGGATCAACAAAAATTGCAGCAAGATCCCCACGGGATCCGACAGCTGTGAAGCTCTCATGGCTTTGGTGAATCATCAATGATTCACTGGGAATCGTGGCCCTCAGTTGAGGCGGGGGCAAGTGGAAAGGAGTGAAGAATGGATCAAGTGTGAAAATGTCGCAGAAAAGAAGCCAGAAGATATTGGTGACTTGTCTACTACTGGAATAGTGAACTTGGTACTTGCTGTCATGGATTCAATGATAATCTCTTGACAAATTTATTTTTAAAATACTGTAACGGTCACAGCTTACCTTCGTTGGCAGGGATATCTTTGTTTGAGCAAATGGGTGGTGTTTCCAAGCATTCATTGTTTCATATTGTTTCGGATGTTTTTCTTTGCAATTTTCCAGCTGGTAGTTAATTCTTGGGACTCTCCGCGGATATCCCTTGGGACTTGGGATATTGTATTTGCTTGACCATTTTTGGAGTTGAAACTGACCTTTCTGTGTGCTTTTGATGCAATCACCGCCTTTGCCTTTGTCGGTTTCTCCCGGGGAGCTGCATCAGGTTCCAAGCATGGGGTAGCTCAAGGCCTTCAGAGGGGGAGACGCTGCGATGGTTGTTGGTTTGCTTAGGGCTACATAAGTTCAAAAACCTGTGAGCATTGCAATAGAACATGTTTCTTTTTCATCGTAATCATCCTTTTCCAACTCGTATTGGTTCTGTCTTCGCAGGGCCATGATCAAGGGTCTGGCTATCCATGGGCTAAACAAGAATTGGCAGATACCAACCCTCAGGATGCTTGTGCAAGACAAAGGACCTATAGCAGACAGGAAGCTCAGCAGCCGAAACGCTTCGCAGCGTCATGGGTGAAGTGCAAAATCTGGTCAAAATGAGCTATATGCCTGATTCATTGTGACCTGTAGAGCGCATTGTCCTTTGTGACCCTTGATTGATGGATGGCCATGTTGGAATCCAGTTAACTTTACATAACTTTACAGACTCTAATGCTTTCTGAAGCGTTGATCGTATATCTAATTACTGCGATTAACACCATTGCCTGTGGGGCTATTCCATGCAAGTCCTAACTGACAGATGATTGCAGTCATTCTTGGAACCTCTCTTCACCAATCACACACCTGCAGTTTTGCTCAAGATTGGCCACCAGAGTCCATCTCGCCATCCCCCTCTCCTGAAGCAATGTCTCGTGTCTTCCGGGCTCTCCAACCCTTTCAACGCAGCATCGCCCAGCCACAAGTCCGAGCCTTTTCTGAAGGTGCAGGACCCGACCTTGGAGGCAGGTTCATGACAGGCATGGGTGCAGCAGCATTCAGCCATTGCCAGAAGTATGCACGGAAGTACGCAAGGAGACTCTTTGCTCCGGCTGGGCCAACTCCCAGCCAGCAATTGAGTCAATATGCATACCACAAGACGATCGACTCCAAGCCAGTTGCTCCACAGGTGGTTTCGCAGATGGAGATGGTCGGGATGAATGAATTCATGGCTGTCCAGTGCATGGTTGTCCCCAAAGACTTGTTGAGGGAGAAAGTCCATGTGGGTTTGACAGCGAAGGGAGTGCCAAATAAAGTGGCTCAGGCCATTTCGTTTGAGCTTGATGGGGCTTCCTGTTTTCAAATGTTTTGGGATGATTTCCAAGTGGAGGACGGAACAGGAAGTGCGCACTCCTACAGGGTCATTGTGAGGATGTCGGAATCTGATGGCCATTGCGACGTTGCTATAGCTGCTTCAGGTGCATCATTCAATGCCGCCAAAGAGGTTTCTCACTATGAAACACAAGAGATTCTTGGTCAGACAATTGCATGCCCTTTTGTGCATGTCCTCATTAGGAGAACGGACCGGGAACAGATTGTATAGCTACAAATATCGTTGAAATAGATTATCAGCCGGAAAGTTTGGAACCTAGGATTCCAGAATACGGGGATGTGCCGGAGCTTGTCACTGAGTATGAGGATGGCCTCTTTAGGCGCTATGAGAAACAAAAGACAGTGATGCGGAGACGGCAGATTGGCCAAAAAATTTTGAAGATCCCAATTTTCAAGCAGAAGACGTTTACAACACAAACCATGGAAGACGTGAAGAATTATTTGGAGGGCAAAGCAATGAAAGAGGTCTTGCGCCTTTGCCCACCAGCCCAACAAAATCGCGTGAGTGAGTAGGCACACTTGGCTTTGTTCCCAGGAGATGAGAGATTTACAGTGGCAAATCCGCCAATTTTTGTGCGTCAGACAGAGCTTTGCTAGGACGCACCAAGCTCTTCTATCGCGTCGTCATGCAGCATCTTCCACAGATGCGATCCTTTTAATGTACAGCATCGTTTGATTTCATGTTCAATTGTCCACATTAAATTTCCATAGTACACCTGGTGTATTGTGGAAAGCCCTGCAGACAAGGGCGGTATGTCGGGCCAGGCAACAGTGCTTCAGAGGCCGTGTGTTTCTTTTTCGACAGAGACTTGAAGCGGAACTCAAAAACTATTGCACGCAGCCGCTTCTGTGGTTAAGCAGAGGTTGGATCCATTTGTTCAAAATGTAATGTGCAGCGTCGTGTGCATCATCGCAAATTGACGAACACATGAGCCCTGTATTTCCAAGATGGCGGAGGCTTCTGCAAATGTGTTGACGATGCAGGCGAACAGCTGGCGGTCGGCGCTTCACGAAGTGGTCATGTACATGCGGAAAGGACTGGTGGACGAAATGATGCCCGGGAACGGAACAACGAAGTTCAGCTGTGGCCCACATTTGAAATCGGTTCTGCATTTTGTAGCCGGATCTCAGACCTTGGCCATCCTGCTGGTCTGAAGCATCGGCTTCAAGAAATGAATACTGGGCCAAAGCTGGTCGGTCATCTACTTTCTTCCAAAGGCAAGGTCTTTTTGTGGATCAATAATTAATCATGAATCAAGATTAATCCATATTAATCCACTGATGTTTCGCTGAGCATCTTGGGGCTAGTTGATTCGTGCTTTGACACAAATCTCAGACAAGGCTTCTGGGATCTTCTGGGCACCCCCACCATCATGCAATCGCATTTTGGCACACCTGTTACTCATATGAACAGTATGGGTAACATTTGGTATCTTTATCTTGAACTATCTGTATGATGTTGCAATTCATGGCTTGTCCTGGAACCCTGCTAGTTTGAGTTCTCCACGCAGAGCTTTGTTGTTTTTTTAAAGCGTTGGACAAAGCCTTCATGACATTTCCGAAAATTGGAATTCCTCCACCCCTCGCGCTGCTGCTGATAAGTTTGTTGGAGCCAGGAGCCAGGAGCCTGGCCTTTGGACGCCCGAACATGTTTCTGTAACAATAAACAAATACAAATACATCTAAGATCTTCCAAAGATAATTTATATCCAAGGTGGACTGCGCAAAATCTTGGATCCAAAGGTTCTTATGGTTCTTCTACCTTCTAAACTTGCACTTACACTTGGTGTAGGTTTTCATTGTTGTAAAGTAATGACGGGGACCAATTAAAGTAATTTGTCCGTAGATTAATTTGCTTTTGATAACATTAATATATATTAATTATTTTAATATAATCTGATTAATTAATATGTATTGTCATGGAAAATTGATATATTTAAATATTACCATTATTAGGATCAATGTTTTGTTAATCAATACTTGGTCTACTGAAAGACGTTTTATTTTTGGGCGGTTCTTGTTTTTGATTGATTTTTTGTGACACAGATTTGGCGTTATTTTTTTGTGTTTTGGTGGTATTTTTTTAAGTTTTGGTGTTGCGTTTTTGGTGTTAGATTATGGCTTGCGTTTTGTTTTTGGGCGCGCGTTGTGTTTTTAGGCGAAATAAAAAACATCAAACATTGACCTAAATATATGTTATTTTAGAATTATATTAGTTTTTTCCCCACCTGCCAGGTGAGGGTTGTTAGATTTTATGTCAGTTGCCTCCTCCTCCTCCTCCTGCTCCTCCTCCTCCTCCGCCTCCTCCTGCCTCGTCCTCCTCTCCTCCTCCTCCTCGTCCTCCTTGTCATCCTTGTCGTCCTTGTCGTCCTCGTTATCCTCGTCGTCCTCGTCGTCCTTGCTCAACTGCGACCCGCGATCCACAGTGTTCTCTGCCGGACCTCAACCACGACCACCCACGCCCAGTGTTCCCTGCCGGACCTCAACCACGACCATCCACGCCCAGTGTTCCCTGCCGGACCTTAACCACGACCATCCACGTCAGTGTGCCCTGCCGGACCTCAACCACGACCATCCCCGCCCAGTGTTCCCTGCCGGACCTTAACCACGACCATCCACGCCCAGTGTTCCCTGCCGGACCTCAACCGCGAGTATCCCCGCCCAGTGTTCCCTGCCGGACCTCAACCACGACCATCCACGCCCAGTGTTCCCTGCCGGACCTCAACCGCGACTATCCACGCCAAAAGATATGCCACATAGAGTGCCAGAAGATATGCTAGATAGAATGTTAGAAGATATGCCAGATAGAATGCCAGAAGGTATGCCAGATAGAATGCCAGATAGGATGTCGGATAGAATGCCAGAAGATATGCCAGATAAAGTGCCAGAATGTTTGCCAGATAGAATACCAGCAGATTTGCCAGATAATATGCCAGAAGATATACTAGATAGAATGCCAGATGGAATGCCAGAAGATTTGCCAGATAATATGCCAGAAGATATGCCAGATAGAATGCCAGATAGAATGCCAGAAGATATGCCAGAAGATATGCCAGAACATCTGCCAGAAGATATGCCAGAACATCTGCCAAAAGATATGCCAGGTAGAATGCCAGAAGATATGCCAGATAGGATGCCAGATCGAATGCCAGAAAATATGTCAGATAGAATGCCAGAAGATTTGCCAGTAACAAAATGTATAAATGTTATGGTGGGGATCACACGAAGTAAAGTAATTGTTTTTATGTTTTTACCTGTTAATTGAGGGTTTCTAGATTTTTATAGAGGTGTATTTTGGAGCGTGAACATTAGATTTAAATAAACATTATTGGCCCGTAATTATGAATTCTAAAATTACGATTTAATTATTGTTTAATTGATATACTAAAAAAAATATAAAATAATTTTATTTATTATTTTGGATTTTGGGACGAATACATCTTTAGTCTATATGAAAACGTAGCGAATACTTTTTTGCTCGACCTTTTTAGGACTTTGTTAATAGCACCGAAATAATTCGATTATTTTAAAATTTTGAAAAATGGAAATTCCAAAATAAGCAGCCTTTCTTGGGATGTTTATGTTGCGGTTCTAGTCTTGGTCTTATGTCGTAATTTTATAACGGTCCCTCGATTCTCCTTTGGTTTGATTCGCCGTAGGTCCGTTCCGCAATTTCGCAATAGCTCGGAGGGGGCGTCCCGCGTACTGAACCCGCCTTCCACCGCGCATATAATGTGCTTACTTCCTTAGCCTGTGCGCGTTGTTTTGGGGAGCTTTTTTGGGACGTTACTTTTGGTAGCAACTTTGGAAAATAACTTTGAGGAAGAATTGAGGGGAGCTTTGTGGCTCTGCAGTAGCATTGACGAACAGTTGCTTTGAAGAACGCAGCTTTGGAAAGTAGTTTTAGAAAGTAATTTTGGGAGAGCTTTAGCTTTGGGGAGCAACTATTCGGAGCAGCTTTCGATAACAACTTTATTTGTTCTTTAAATTATCGAATATATAATTTTGGCTACCTATAGCATCTAAAAAATTAATTTATTTGAGAAAGGTTACCATATCATAAGCCTTGCCCCGGCCTTGCTGTTTGCAACATGCTTTCCAATGTTCCTAAGCTGCCAGCTCCAATTTATCTCCGTGTTCCAAAATTGAAATTAAAAATTTGGAG